CGGGCTCCTGGCTAACCCCCACTTCCGGGGTGGGGTTTCAGGCCAGGAAGTGGGGAGGGGCGGAAGGCGGCCGCTCCCATGTTCGGCTTCTCCAGGCTGGGGTGGTCCTGGAAATGAAGACCTGGGAAGGGATTTGGGGGTGCGGGTCTGGCTCCGCCTTGTTCTCGCCCCGGGACGCCCCAAAGTGCGCCCATCCTACCAGCCCACCCCCAACCGCTAAGCATCGGGGGAGGAGGGCGGGATGGTGTGCGGTGAATGTCTGTGGCCGATACAGGCAGGTGTTCTCGACCGAAGCGGCCCCACAGCACCTTCAGGATCTACATTTAAAAAGTGTCCACTGCAGGCCTTCCTGAAGCCCAGATTATCCATTTAGCAGCCCCCCGCCCTGTTCTGTTGTTGCTCAGCAGGCATTTTAAGTTGGCAGTTCTTTAAGATGAGGGACTAGGAACGAAGGGAAAATAAAAACGAGATGAGGTTAGGGGTGAAGACAATCACGTATGGCCTGTTATGATGCAGTACACAACGGTTCCAAGGGGCCACACCTTTCACGGAGTCCTACAGGAGCCAGCGAACGGGAAAATACGACCCGTTACTCCATTCACAGTCCATGAGGTTTGTCGCTGTTGCTGCCGCCGCCGCCGCCGCTGCTGGCGATCACTCCCTTCGGATCTGACGACGCTCACCAGGAAGGGTGGCCTGATAGGAGCAGGGGGGGGAACCAGGAATATCTGACTTGGGAAGAGCCGGGCAGGGTGGAGTCACCTTCTCAAACGTTTCAAGGAATGGCATCAGGAAGAACAATTCTGGTTTCGGGGATAGCTCAGAGAGTAGAAGCAGGCCTCAGCAGACAGAGGGACGTCACAGCAGGTGCTCAGAAATGGAATGGCAGCTGCTTACAACCACGAAGAGACATGGACGGCGTTACTGAGCTGGGAAGCATCACCCACAGGAAACTGCATGGACAAACGGGGAAGAGTCATACCAGAGACTGTAACCCCACAGCAAGGAACTACTGTTAAATTCAAAACATGCGTGAATCTCCCAGGCATTTGAGCAAAAGGAACCAGGCTAAAAAGGGCATCTTCCCCATGGTTATGTTGATAGACATTCCTTGAGCTGGCAAAATTAATCTATGATGGTAAAAGTCAGAGTCACGGTTACCACTTGAAGGGGGTGTTGACTGGGAAGTAGCACCAGGGAATTCTCAAGTGGCAGAAATGTTGTCTGTCTTGATCTGGGTGGTGGTTATTGGGGGGCACATGTATGTAAAAACTTGATAAGCTGGACACTTAAGACTTGTGCAGTTTACTGCACGGTAAGTGTATGTCAATTAAAAAAAAAAGGAAGAGCTTGTTTAGGGAAAGAAAAGAAGGAAGGAAGAAATGGAATTGGCCTCACAATGCACAAGCTAGATGGGTATGTCCTAAGGGGGATACAGAATAGTGGTGTGATAGGTAAAATAACAGTCCACCAAAGATCTCTGTGTCCTCGTTCCCACTGCCTAGGATTATGTTACATCACATGCCAAGAGGAGCATTATGGTTACCAAAGGAACTAGGGTTTCTAATCAGCCGAGTTTAGGATAGGGAGACTGGGTGCACCTGGCTGACTCAGTGCATGCAGCATGTGACTCAGGATCTCAGGGTTGTGAGTTCGAGCCCCACATTGGGTGGAGAGATTACTTAAAAGTAAAATCTTAAAAAAAAAAGTGGGGGGGAGACTGCTTTAGGGTAATCAATCGCCAGGGTCCTTAAACAGGAAAGAGGGAGACAAAGGCAGAATCGGAAAGTTGGCATCTTGAGAAAGACTCAACTGGCCGTTGTTGCTGTGAAGATGGAAGGGGGCCATGAGTCAAGGAATGCAGGCAGCTTTTAGAAGACAGAACAGACAAGGCAGATTCTCCCAAGAACCTACAGAAAGAAATATAGCTCTGCTAAAATCTCAGTTTTAGCTCAGTGAGACCTGTTTTCAGGCTTCTGACCTCTAAACCTGTACAATATTACATTGTTGTTGTTATTTTTAAGATTTACTGATTTCAGAGACAGAGAGTGGGGGGTTGGGTAGAGGGAGAGAGAGAATCTCAAGCTGACTTCCCACTGTGTGCAGAGCCTGAGATGGTGACCTGAGCCAACCAAGCACCCCCAATATTATGTTGTCTTAGGCCACTGGGTTCCTGGCAATCTGTTACAGCAGATGACTTTCTTTTTTTTTTTTTTAATAATATAAATGGCTAATATAAATGGCTTTCATTTTTTTGGTATATATAACCTCAAAACAATTTTAAAAAACTATACACCCCCAAGTTGTCAGTTGCAAGTTTAAATAGTTACAAAAGCAGCAATTTCTAGTTTATTATGTATTACAATCATCTTTCCAATGTGTTTCCACCAAAACCATAGAGATGCAAGCTTCACTTATTCCATTTATGAAAAACACTCTCCAAATGACCTCATTGGCAAAGCTGACCCTTCTAATCAAACCAATCGGCTAAAACAGAATCAGTGTCTATCAAAAACAGTCTGACTTCATTTTTTTCAGTTTAAATAAAAGTGTTGGCATTTTCTCAGAAGAACCATCTCATTTCATTCCAATAATTCCCTTCCAATAACTCTAGTACTTACCAAGCATCCACTCTCCCAGGTGTTTTGGGGTATGGCAGCGACCAGCCCAGAAGAATTCCTGACCTCATAGGGTGACTTCTACATTCTAAGACAACTGAGAAGGTGCATTGAGAAGTTTCAGTGTGATAAAGCATCAGATTAAAAAAAAAAACTGCTTTACTGAAATATACCTCATGTACAGAAAAGTGTACAGATCATTTGGTGAATTTTCACACCCTGAACACATCCATGTAACCAGCACTGAGATGAACGCAGTCTTGTCAGCTCCCAGAAGGCCCCCTTCTGCATCCTTCCATCACTACTTCTTACTGAACCCACTTTTCTTAGTCTAATGGGGACTCTCTCCTGTAGGAACTCTGCTTTTTGGAATTTCCTGCTCATTCAGCACCCAGCTCAGGCAATACTCCACAGTGTGGAAAGGCAAGTGTCTGATCTCAAACACCTCCCAGATTAAAAACTGTCCAGAAGGATGCTGGGAATTTGGAAATTGATTTTTTAAAATGTTTTTTTAATTTTTAAATAAACATATAATGTATTATTAGCCCCAGGGGTACAGGTCTGTGAATCGCCAGGTTTACACACTTCACAGCACTCACCATAGCACATACCCTCCCCGATGTCCATAAATAACCCCACCACCCTCTCCCTACCCCTCTCCTCCTGGCAACCCTCAGTTTGTTTTGTGAGATTAAGAGTCTCTTATGGTTTGTCTCCCTCCCGATCCCATCTTGTTTCATTTATTCTTTTCCTAACCCCCAAGCCCCCCCACGTTGCATCTCCACTTCCTCATATCAGGGAGATCATATGATAGTTGTCTTTCTCCAATTGACTTATTTGGCTCAGCATAATACCCTCTAGTTCCATCCATGTTGTTGCAAATGGCAAGATTTCATTTCTTTTGGTGGCTGCATAGTATTCCATTGTATATACACCACATCTTTTTTATCCATTCATCTGTTGATGGACATCTAGGTTCTTTCCATAGTTTGGCTATTGTAGACATTGCTGCTATAAACATTCGGGTGCACGTGCCCCTTCGGATCACTAAGTTTGTATCTTTACGGTAAATACCCAGTAGTGCAATTGCTGGTAGCTCTATTTTCAACTTTTTGAAGAACCTCCCTGCTGTTTTCCAGCTTGCATTCCCACCAACAGTGCAGGAGGGTTCCCCTTTCTCCGCATCCTCACCAGCATCTGTCATTTCCTGACTGGTTAATTTTAGCCATTCTGACTGGTGTGAGGTGGCATCTCATTGTGGTTTTGATTTGTATTTCCCTGATGCTGAGTGATGTGGAGCACTGTTTCATGTGTCTGTTGACCATCTGGATGTCTTTTTTGCAGAAATGTCTGTTCATGTCCTCTGTCCATTTCTTGATTGGATTATGTGTTCTTTGGGTGTTGAGTTTGCTAAGCTCTTTATAGATTTTGGATACTAGCCCTTTATCTGATATGTCATTTGCAAATATCTTCTCCCATTCTGTCAGTTGTCTTTTGGTTTTGTTAACTGTTTCCTTTGCTGTGCAATTGGAAATTGATTTTTTAAAAAATAACGGTTCTCAAAGTGGGGTGCCTGGACCAGCAGCATCAGTATCACCTGGGAACTCATTAGAAATGCAAATTCTTTAATCACATCCCAGACCTACTGAACAGGAAATTCTGCGAGTGGGTCTCAGCAAACTAGTTTAATAAGCCCTTCAGGGGATTCTGTTGCATGCTTGAGTTTGAGAGCTATTGGGTTAAGATAATGGTAAGATTTTTGATTGCATATTTGTTCCTAAAAGCGTGTACTCCTGACAAGCACACTCAGCATCACCTGGGAATTTAGCGACGCAAATCAACAGGTCCCACCCCATCCAGAAAGTCTTTTATACCCCATGCAGGTGATGCAATGAAAGCTAGAATTTGAGAAGCAATGCCTAGAGCTATACTTGCTTGACCATTGGGAGAGATTCTTGCACTCCAGGGGTTCCCGTACCCCTAGTTGTAAAGCCTGCTTCATAAGATATGAGGCCAATTAATTGGATTTTTACTCACTAATACAGTGCCTGGCTCATATTGGTGCTCAGTGTTTGCTGAGTGAATTAGTTTAATACTCAAGAACAAGGCTGAGAAACAGGAATTGAGCAGACATAGGATTTGAACCCGCGTCAGACAGGCCTTAAGAGCACGCAGACTTCACTTCACGGGACTACACTCCTACTGCGCAAGGTCGCGGCTTCACGCCCATTCCCCCTCCATCCAACAGGTGGCGCTCTAGGGCGCCCGCTGAGGGTACGCTAGGAGGCGGGACTTCCTACCTCCGAGGGAGCAATTCCGGTCCTGCCCGGAAGGCCGTTAATTTGCCCTGTTGTTCCATCCCCGGCCCTGGAGTCGGGGTGTAGTTGGCCGGCTCCCTCGTGGCTCGTGGCTCGTGGCTCGTGGGTCGGCCGAGCGTCCCGTGGAGTTCCCAGTCCCGGACGAGCACCGCGGGGCCCGGACCACGTAAGCGCGCGCGTCGCGGGGGCGGCAGGGAGGGGGAGCCCCCGGGCCGGGAGCGGAGCTCGGGCTTGGCCTGTGCGCGGGTCCGCGGGCTCCACGCTGTGTGACTTTGGCACAGATCGCCCCACAGCTGTACGGTGGGTCGTCAGCTCCTGCCTCACTCAGCGGGAGGCCCCCACAAGTGCAAAGCGTGGCGGCAGCTGTCCGGCACGCAGCGGTCCCCGCGGGTCCCCTGCGGTGGTCGGAGGTGAGGGCGGGAAGTGAGGCTGCTTCGCGGAGGGGCTTTTCGGGGGTCGGGAGCTCCACCGGCGCCCTCTGCCTGCCCGTCTTGGTTTGAGGCTCACTCACTTCTGGGTTTTTCCGTTCGATGGATAAGTACTGGTTGTTACTGTGGCGCAAACACCGAGGTGCTGGGGAGAGAAGAAGCCCCTTCCCCATGGGGACTGTTAGAGCCCGTTTGGAGTCTCTCAGTATCGAATCACACGCTGCCGTGCGTGCTCTGGGGGAAGGCGAAGGTGCTGGGGCGAGAACCCGCGGGAGGCCTGCTGTCTGGAAATCTGAAGGATGGGTAGGATTTTGTAGGTGGGTGGGAAGGGTGCTGGCGTTCATTCGGAACCGGAGAGAGGGTTTGCAGTGAAAAGTGTGATGAGGCAATCCCGGAGGAGGTCGGTGGGACTGGAGCCCAGGCCCAAGAGGGGAGGCGGAGGTGAGCTGGAGACGGGCGCACGCGGGTTTGTCGGGGGTGCGGCCGCCGCCATCCCGCGCTGCAATCAGGACCGGGCAGAAGGATTCACGGAGCGCTTCCTTGGTTCGTGCCACCGCCCTCTCCTGTTCCGTTATGGGAAAGAGTGAGGGCAGCCGTCCAACTTCAGAACTCAGGAATGAATCAGATACAGCCCCTGCCCTGGGAGAGCGCCCAGTCTCACCCAAGAGATGAGGTTATACATAGAGACCTCCGTTAGGGTGAGGCTGGTGTGCCATGAGTTACGCCTGTCCGTTCATTTGAGAAGTATTTACTGGCTTTTACTGTGTGACGGGTGTCCTGCGCGGTGCTGACAGTACGTGGATGTACGCAATGAAATGATAAGTTTAGGGGCGCCTGGGTGGCTCAGTGGGTTAAAGCCTCTGCCTTCGGCTCCGGTCATGATCCCAGGGTCCTGGGATCGAGCCCAACATTGGGCTCTCTGCTCGGCGGGGAGGCTGCTTCCTCCTCTCTCTCTCTCTGCCTGCCTCTCTGCCTACTTGTGATCTCTGTCAGGTAAATAAATAAAATCTTAAAAAAAAAATGTAAGTTTATTTATCAGAATAGATTGATAAAATGCAGTGGCAGTTCCAAGGGAAAGAGATTTTTGGTTTCCAAGACTAATGCTAATGCTTGCTTCCTGTGGATGCATGGGAGCGGAGTGGTTCAGAACTTGGACTTTGAATTGGATGGGGGACCAAGCTGTTGGCCTTGGGGGGTTTGCTGTTCCCTGAGCTTCAGTTTCCAGAACTCCGGAACAGAGGCAACAGACGAATAAAACGGGTAGTCTGTCTCTGGCACCTGCTGGTGTTCAGGAGGTGACCATTGCTGTTACTTTTGTGGTTAATAAAAGAAGAGGGATGGCGCGGCTGCTTATTTTTCTTGAGCAGTTTGAATCTGGCACAACCTTTTGATGTAAATTTATTCTATTTTGTTTTCCTTTGACATAAATTTATTGTTATTCAACACAGGGTCAGTTGCATTTCCCACAAGGTACTATACTTGAACATGGGAAGACAGAGGAAGAAGACTCTGTCCTGGTTTAGGGGGAACTTGAGTTGCTCTTGGGGAGAGCAGCCTGGGGTGGAGGGTGCATCATTTCCCCACCAGTGATTGTAATAGGGTAGCTACAAGCAGAGCTGAAAGCTACAATAGAAGCTGCCCCCACACCACATCCCCTGCCATGCTCCTCCTCATTCATTCTTTTGGCTTCACAGCTTTTCTGCCCCAGGACTTTTGTACTTGCTGTTCATTCTGGCAGGATCCCTCGTTCCAGTTGTCTGCACCGTTCTTTTCTTCCTTAGGTTCAGGCTGTGCCAAATGCCCCCTTCTGAGTGAGGCTTTCCCTGGCTGCCACCGCCTATCACCTTGCCATCCCCTGCCTCCTGGTTGGCTGGTTGGTTTTATTTTATTTATTTTATTTTTTTTAAAGATTTTATTTATTTATTTGACAGAGATCACTATTCGGCAGAGAGGCAGGCAGAGAGAGAGAGAGGAGGAAGCAGGCTCCCCGCTGAGCAGAGAGCCCGATATGGGGCTCGATCCCAGGACTCTGGGATCATGACCTGAGCTGAAGGCAGAGGCTTTAACCCACTGAGCCACCCAGGCGCCCCTGGCTGGTTGGTTTTAATTGAGCACTTATTAGTCTCTGGCAGTAGGCTGTGTATTTATTCTTTATTATCTTTCTGAAATAAAATTCAAAATACAGCCCTGTTAGGGCAGTTCTTCCTCTCCCAGGAACCCTGGAAGGCATGTTCAGATTCAAGTCTCGGAGAAGACGTGCTGTGTGGTTCTTGTTTTCCAGGATGGACTTCCCCAGCTCCCTTCGACCCACGCTGTTCATGGCTGGCCCCCTTGGTCTGAGTAATGTCCCTGACTTGTCCTTCATGTGTAGCTGGAGAGACGCCCTGATGCTGCCGGAGTCCCTGCCCGAGAACTCTGAGGTGAAGATCCAGGGGAGAGCCCTGGCTGTGGCCCCTCACTCCAGAGCACAGGCTGCTGCCTCCTCCTCAGTTTTCCTTTCCTGCCTTTGCTCAGCAGATGCTCACTGTTGAGCCCCTGCAGTGCATGTGGAGAAGGGGGGCCCTCGTTAGGCCTTGGAAATCCAGCATGAGTCAGAGGCATCCCTTGCCCCTGGGGGACTTAGGGTTAGGTCCAGGAGGACAAGCAACCAAAGGATAAAATTATCACCCCGTGTGACAAGAGCACTGCCCGAAACCCAGAGGGTGCTCACGGAGCAGCGTGGGGAGAAAGTGGTGAGGAGACAGGAGGGGAGGAGAGGCCTCCCCAGACAGGAGGGACAAGCGGCTTTCCCTGGAGGCCTAAGCCATCTGGCTCCCAACTTGGAGACAGGCTGCTTAAGGATGATGCCCGGCAGAGGGGAGGGTCCCCGATGAAGAAGGGTTTAATGTCCATTCGGTCCCCTCTGGGAGCCCAGCTCGCTGCCTCCTGTACCCCTGAGTGTCGGAGCTGAGTGGCCTTGGACAAGCCCAGTGCTGGGGAGAGCAGAGTGGCCTGTGGGCTCCCCCCAGTCAGTAACCATGAGGTCTCCTGAGTGGACGTGACAATCAGGCGGTTCTTGGGCCAGCCAGTGATGGCACAGGGCTGGGGGGAGCTGCAGCTCAGAGGTAGGGACTGGCCCCAGGCTCCCAGCCCCTTCTCTTAACCAGTTTCCTGGAGCGAGCCTCCCCGTGCCTCCACTTCTTCACCAGTAAAGCGGCGATGACTGTTGTACCAATGAGCTGGTAAGATACGTGCTTACACATTAAAAGTAAACGAAGAGGCACCTGGCTGGCTTAGTCGGTAGAGGATGCAACTCTTGACATCAGGGTCGTGAGTTCAATCCCCACGTTGGGCGTGGAGCCTACTTAAAGTAAAAATTAAAAAATAAATAAATAAAAATTTTTAAAAAATTAAAATAAAAAAAATTAAAAAACAAAATTTTTTAAAAGTGTGCGCCCGGCCTGGGGCTGTGTTCACTGTGTTCCTTTCGGGCTTGTGTTTCCTCAGAATGGGGCGCCGCACATGGCCACGCAGCTGCTCTGGGAGCCAGAGACCCCTGGACCCCTTCCTCTGCTGCCTCCTGGTCCTGGTAAGTGTCTTGGTTCCTGGGACTCCTTTCAAGCTGTTCCCCGTGTCCCTTCTGTCCCCCGCCTCCCCCCCAAAGGCCTTCCCCCCCTGCTGGTGATCTTCTGTCACCTAGGATACCTGCCCCCACCTGTGAGCCCTCTCCAGTCCCTGAACAAACCCCTTCTCCGGCCTCATTCTTCCGTCAGATCCCTGGGACCCTGGGGTGACTGCCCAGGACCTGCTTTTCCGGGGAGGTTTCACATTCCGAAGGAAGCCCCAAGCCGTGCTGGACGTTACAGAACAGGTGAGTAGCCCCACAGCGGGCAGTGCTGGGTGGTGGGGGCTGCGCTTGGTGACCCAGCCCCCTTTCCCGCAGCTCAGCCGCTTCCTGTGGGACCATGGGGACATAGCCTTTGCACCCCTGGGCAAGCTGATGCTGGAGAATTTCAAACTGGAGGGAGCACGGGTGAGTAACCCCTGCCCAGCCAGGAGAGGGGGCGCCCCACTTCTTGTCAGGGTAACCTTGGGTGTGCGAGCTTGACAAGGCCTTTCCACACAGAGCCGTTCTAAGAAGAAGACAGTGGTCAGTGTGAAGAGCCTACTCCAGGACCTCGGTGGACACCAGCCCTGGGGGCAAGTGGCTAGTGAGAAAGGACGGGCTGGGAGGCCTAGCTGGGGTGATGTGGAAGCAGCCAGGGGGGTCCAGGTTCCCCTCACAGTTGTTTCCTCTGCCCCATGTGGTCAGGGGCTCCAGTTCCTCGCGCCAAACTCTAAGTGAAAAAGGGAATGCAATTTATGAGCTGCAGGTATGGCTGCATCTAGGTGTTGGAATAACATTACTAAGGCTCTCTTTCTTTTTTCCTTCACTTGGCTTTGCTTGGCTCAATTCCTGGACGAACTATTCCTAAGTGGCAGTGAGATGGCTTATGACTTCAAGGAAGAAGCTAGTGTTTTTCTTGAGGCACTACCCAAAGCCCTGGGAAAGGTGTGGTTGGCGTGGCCTGGGTGTCTGGCTCCTCCATGAGCCGATCACTGTGGCCAGGGGTGACCTAGGACCACTTTTGCAGCAGGGAATAAGGTGGAATCATTTCCCAAAGGAAGAAATTCTAGGTTAACTAAAAACAAACAAACAAAAAAACGCACCTGCTGGCCTGGCCTCTCTCGGGATGGGACCTAGTCCTCCTCTTGGTCACTGTTGCCGCCTGATCCTCCTGCCATTGCCTCGTCCCCAGCTGCCCCTGGGCTTTCCTCAGCTACCGACAGCGCCGCTTCTCCATCCTCGGGGGCCCTGTCCTGGGCAAGTCAGTGGCCAGCCTCCTCGGGGAGCTGCTGCACGAGGAGCTGGCCGTGCGGTGGGAACAGCTGCTCCTGGACGACGCGTTCACCGGGGGCGCTTTGGCCTGGGTGCCCGGGAGGACACCCCAGGTGGGACAGTTGGTCTATCCGGCGGGAGGTGCTCTAGACAAGCTCTGTATCCTTTCTCAGGGGGGCGATGACAGGGTAGAGGCGGCTCTCTCTGGTGGAGGGGGTGCTCTCGGCCTGGTCCCGGAGACTGGCAGGATGTTGGGGGACTTGCAGTGACCAGAGCTCATATACCTATCCTTAGCTAGAGGCCCAGGTTTCCAAGAGGTCAGTCTGACCTCAGGCGGTGATGCTCAGGCTCTCGGGGACCCTGGCCACATCCAGCTCCGAGGACCTGTCCGGCAGGTGGTGACCCGCACTGTGCAAGGGGAAAGTGAGTCCTTTGGACACCTCCCTCCCCGCCTGCCTCCCTCCCTCGCTGACTTGCTCCCTTACTCTGACCTTCTCCGTCCCTCAGCCCTGCTGGCTGTCCGCTCGGACTACCACTGTGCCCTGTGGAAGGTCAGTAAGCAGGGGCAGCCCGCCCCTCTCCAGGTGCTACAGGTCGGGAAGGGGGCCGCTGGGATCAGCCTCAGGTGAGGGGCTCGGCTGGGGTGGTGTGCACGGAGCTGGTGTGGGTAAAGGTTGGCGGTGGGGGGGGGTGGTCAGCTGATCCTGCTTGTGCCCTACAGCCCGCACCTGCCCGGGGAGCTGGCTGTCTGCAGCCGTTCCGGAGCCGTCTGTCTGTGGACCCCCCAGGACGGGTAATGCCCCTTTCCTGTGAAAACCCTCCTGTGAAAACACACAGCTTCCCCCGAACCACAGCCCGTGCTCCCTGTGCAATGTGTTCTGGACCCTGGGCCCCTCCGTGTCAGCCCATCACCCCACCCATGGCTGGCCTGTCTCCCCAAGGCTGCAGCAAGTCTACAAGGACCCTGAGACCCTTGTGTTCTGTGACCCTTCTCCCTGGCGCTGTGCGGACTTCACCGCTCATCCCCGGGTGCTGACTGTGGGGGACCGCACAGGAGTGAAAATTATTGACACTCAGGTGAGCGGAGGGGACCGGCACAGGCGCAGCTGGGGCCAGGCGTCTTCCCCAGAGGGCATGAAGAGTGGCAGGGCCATGAACCTTGCCCGCCCGGGGCGGGGACTGGTCGGAGTCTTGCCACAGCCCCAAGCTGCGGGAGGGCTGACCCGAGTTTCTCCCCCAGGGCCCACCTGGCTGTGGCCTGCTGCTTTTTCGTGGGGGCGCAGAGGCATCATGCCAGAAAGGAGAACGTGTCCTGCTGACCCAGTACCTGGGGGCGTGCAGCCCCGAGCCCCTGCTTCCTACACTCCATCTCATCTGTACGCAGGTGAGCCACACCTGCCCCCGCGGCCCGGCACACCGTGTCCGGGAGGACAGCTCCGGCAAAACAGGGATCGTGAGACTGTTGAGTCTGTGGCTGGCATGTGCTAACAGGCGGGTGGGACCGGCCTTGTGGGGAGGCCCCACGGTGCAGGAGGAAAGGCACGGGGTGTCAGGGGAGGAGTCTGTGCTATGTGGCAGTTTCCCTGTGTGTTCAGGAGAAGGGGAGGTGGTCTGAGGGGCTGCCCCCCACCCACCCGCCAGGACTCCAGGCTGTTAACCGGCGCGTCTGGAGCACAGGTCCCAGGGTTGGACGGCTTCGGGGAAGGCCTGGTAGCAGTCTGTGTGACAAGACTGCGCCTTTCCTGAGAGTCACTCCCGTGTGGCACTCCAAGTGATATGCCGGGGAGCTGCCCCCGTGAGGCGCTACTCGGTAGGGACGGGGTGGGGGGGCATCAGGGCGGTCACGCTGCTGGGACGGCTCCGGGCCTTGAACTCCTCTTGAGAGCCACGCGGAGCTGCTTGTCCCATCACACACTTTTCCTGCCTCCGTCACGGCCCTCTGGGGTGTGCAGTCTTCACACTCAGGCACACACACAAACACACCCGACACACACACACACACACGCACACGTGCACCCATCCCCATCGCCTTCCTTGGCTGCTGTTCCCCCCCACCCCGCGGTTGCGTTCCTCCCCCTCGCTCACGGCCCCCCTCAGTCCCAGTCGCCTTTGTGCATGGCCTCCCCCCACAAGCCCCACTCACCCCCATTGTAGTGTCCTTCGGTCAGGCCTTGTCCCTCCCCCCAACGTCTCCCCATCACGTCCCTCCCCTGCCCTGTCTCGTCCCCCTCTGTCAGGTTCTCCCTCGGTCATGCTTCTCATTTCCTATCGGCCCCCAGTTTTCGCTCTACCTGGTGGATGAGCGCCTCCCCTTGGTGCCCATGCTGAAGTGGAACCATGACCTCCCCTCGGCTCCCCTGTGGGCCCAGCTGTTGCCCCCACCACGGCCCGGCTGCCCACGGCCGTTGCTCCTGGGCGCCCAGCACGGGCACCTGCGGCTGCTACACCTTACAGGTAGGAGTCTGGGCTGGGGCAGGAGGCGGGCTGGACGATGGGCAGGGCCTCAGCTGTCTGGCTTTCCTCCAGGAGAGGGGGCCTCTGCACCCAGGCTGGCGGGGCCCCCCCAGTCTCTCCCTTCCAGCAGCGACTCCCTCTCCGCGTTTCCCCTGCTGGAGCCCAAGAGTCAGTGGCGGCTGCAGGAGCGTCTGAAAGCGCCAACCATAGGTGTGCTGGGGCGGGGGAGTGCATCCGGGAGTTGGGGGGTGAGGGTGCCCTGCTGGGCCTTGGTGTCACCGTCACTCTCATGTCCAGGTCTGGCTGCCACCATCCCTTTCCCAGCTTCCGAGCCAGTCCTGTCGCTCTTTCAGCTCTCAGCAGCCGGGGATGTCTTCCACCAGCGCCTCCGCCTCCAGGCAGACCCTGGGGCTACCTTACATGCCCCCACGGCTTCCTGGACACCCCAGGCCACTGCGTGCTGCAGCCGATGGCTGAAAGCCCTGCTGGAGGTGCCCCCACCTCCCCCTGTGTGGGCGGCACCCACCTTTTCCCACCGCCGTCTGCTGGGCTGCATGGAACAGAGGACGGGGGAGCGCAAAGGGCCAGAGGGTCTCCGAGCGGCCATGGCTGGAGGGAGGCTGCTGCAGCAGAGGGACCTGGGCCCACTCCCCTCTGCGGAGCCGCCCCCTGCCCCCGAGCCGGGCCCCGAGGACGAGCTCAGCGCACGTTTGGAGGCGGCCTGGGAAGGCCAGATGGCTGTCTGGTGGGACAGGCAGCAGGGCCGGATCTCCGGGCCCCGCAGACCGCCCAAGCGGCATAAACACCGGACTCAACTGTCCAGCACTTTCTCCTCACTCAGCGGCCGCCTGGACCTCTCGGATGCCACCAGCCCCCCTCGTAGCCCAGACCGGGCATCCCCCGAAGCCAAGCCTCGGCCACCGGTGACCCCGCCCTCCCATGAGTCGACTCAGAAGCTGTGGGCTCAGGGTGTCCCCTCGGAGCGGCAGCAGACTCTCCGCGACTACATGGCGAAGCTGCCGCTCAAAGGGGACAGCCCGCGTGGGGTCTGCTCCCCCCTCTCCCAGAGCCCCAGCCTCCGGGCCACCCCCTCCAGGTCGCAGACCCCCCAGGAAGGCACAACCGAGCTGCCGCCGCGAAGGACCACCCTGAGAGGTGCCGCTGTGTCCTCCTCCCAGACCTCCAGCCTCCGGGCCACCCCCTCCAGGCAGCGGGCGCCCGTCCCCTCTGGCTCTCAGCCCCAGCGGAAGAAGCCGCGCATGGGCTTCTGAGGGCCCCAGGGGAGCTGCTCCCCCTCCGGGGAGCCCTTCATCCTGGACCTGCTGTGCCTTCTGTGGTTGGAAGCTGGGAAGGGGGAAGAGAACAGTCCCCGGGGCACAGGCCTTCCTGTTTCAGAGCAACAGGAATAGGATAGTTGTTTGCTCTCCTTACACTTTTGATAGAAGATCATTCCGGAGGCACGTTGAGTCGGCCGTCGTGGTCCTGTCCTGAAGGGCTGTGTCGTGGGGATTCCCTCCAGGAGACGGTGGGCCACGCTGCCCAGGAGCTGGGGCTGTTGCCCCCTCCCCTCAAAACACCGGGGTGACGGAAGGGCACCTGCTCCTCGCCGCGCTCGCGGGGAGCTGCCGGGCAGCCGCTCAGTCTGCGTCGGTTAAGCGGCGTCCGCTGTGATCGGACGTTTCACGGAGGGAGACGCTTGGAGCCCACGTTTAGGACCTGAATAAGCCTGGCAGCGGCCCCTGCATCCCTTCCTCTGAAGCGTGTGGCTCTGTGGAAGGCTTTGCTCCCCTGTGGGGAAACCCGCCCTCAGAGTGTCCCAAGACCCAGCGTTTGCTCTAGGTTTCTCCTCACACGTGTGAGTGCTGCTTTTCTCAGGGAACCTGGTGGCGTCGCACAGGACGCGCGCGCATGTGCAACGACCCAGTAACACGGGGACTCACGCGGATACTAAAATGTCTGTAATGCTCAGTTACACAACTTCTGCCCCAGAGACCCTGGGACGTCACGTTCTGCTTTGAGCGCAGGAACACGGTGGTGCACGCTTGCATGGGGTCAGCAGATGGGGGGGTGCGCCGAGTGCTCTCAGGAACTGTGACTCTGGAAGGAAGGGGAGCCCAGCCAAGGGGGTGACCTGCACCCATAGGGGGGCCTTAGCTGTGGGCTCACTGTCCCCGTTAGTCTAGGGGCAGAAGGGCCACCTTGGGGTTCAGTCCAAGCCAAATTCAATGTCCTCCCGGTCTTCTCCCGCCTCGGGCTCAGCGAGCTCTGTCTCAGCCTGCGCCTCGTTCTCCTCAGTGACCTCACCTGAGGAGGCAGGAGGGAAGGTAGCTGTGTTCTCGGGACCTGTGCTCGCCCTTGAGTCAGGCACCAAGCCTGGCTGCCAGCTAGTGTCGCGTTAGAACCGCCTGGGCTCCGCAGAGGCCCAGCGACAGAACTCCGCACTGCCCTGCCCCGTTTGCCCATTACCTGTGAGCGCTGCCCCACGTTCCCCATGTGCCTCTCCCTGGCCATGTGCCTGGGCCTCCAGTTCCCAGCCAGGCCGACTGGTCAGCTGGTGACTTGTCCCACCCAGCCGGGTGCTCTGGCCACCCTTCCCCGGCAGCACCACCCCTCTCAGCATTCACCTGTACCCGCAGGCCAGCGGTCCCCCTCATTTTGTCCCACACTCCCTGTCATCGTGTCACCAGAGCCTGCCCACCCTCAGAAGCCTGGGTCTGGAGAGGCTGAGGATCAGGTGGTGTGGACGGGGGTGAAAACCCGGGTTCTCCAGACCCGCGTGGTGATTGGCAGCCCCGGTCAGGCCGACCAGGAGCAGGTCGGCTGTGCGGCTTCTCCGGCCGGGCCAGCAGCAGCCGTGGGCAGGGACACAATCCACAGTGGCCTCTGCGGTCTGTGGTGAGCGGCCTCCAGCCCAGCAGCTGCTCCCCCCACCAGGGTGGGTAGCAGGGGGCACGGGCCCCTGTGGTCTTGAAATTAGGGTGGCATTACCTGGGGGCGAGGCTGGAAGTAGGTCACTGTCCCTGTCCTCGCTGGGAGTGGGTGGCGGGGCGTCCTGATGGCAGGTTGGGGGCATTGGTGGCTGGCCTGAAGCTTGCTCGCCGGGGAGTTCCTGGATCAGCGGGCGTGGGGCCTTGGTGTCTCCTGTTGGTGTTTCCGAGTCCCTCTTGGCGGCTGCTTCACATATGGCGGTGAAGGGCGTCTCAGCCTTCCTCCACGTGTCCCTGGGGATGGCGAATATGTTTGAAAGGGCATCAGAGGTGTCTTCCGGCACTGGGAGTGAGGAGTGGTCCAGTTCAGGGTCACTGTCATCACTCAAGCTTGAGATGGCTGTGATCTTTGGAAAGCACATCTGTTAAGAAAGAGTGAAAATTGCTGCTTTCAGGATAGTCGCTATGAAATGCCCAGTGCCAGCGCTGCTTTTTTACTGACCATAAAATACTCTGATGTCACATACAAGAAAGGCCTGAGGGCGCCCTACCCTCCACCCTTGGGACTTGAGGACACAGGACTGATGCCCTGTGGCCAGCTGTCCCCAAGCCCCTGAAGGGGTGGTGAGCGCTCCAGCAGGGCTCCTCTCCAGCCCTCCGTCGGGGCCAGCCACGCCATCATGCTCCTGGGGCCCTGAGTCAGCTGCACTCGGAGCTTGGGCCTCCGGCTGCCATACACTCCACGGGGACATAGCCTCCTGGGAGAGGAGTTCCCCCTGGGAACCGTGGGCTGGTGTGAACTTCCTCCCTTGGTGACGAGCTCCTGCCCAGAGATGGTGTCTCACCCTGTCCTCGCACCCAGGCCCCGGCAGTGCCCATCTCTGCTGAACCACCCCTCCCAGTTCTGTCTTGTTCACTCCCCTTCCCTGTCTGTGTGTCACTACGGGGCAGGCACCCTGAAAACGAACACCAGCCACCTCAGAAGGACAGAAAAATTTTCCCCGGTGAGCACATACGAGGAGTTATTAAAAAATCAGTGCCAGTAGGTGTGTTCAGGAAGACCCAGGTGCTTCATCTGGGAGCGGGCAGCTCTGCACCTGCTTGGCAGAGGCAGACCCTGGGGTGCAGAGGTGTGGGGGTGCCTGACGTGCACGGAGCTGTGCTTTCTAACAGGACCAGAGTGACAGTGACATTGGGCTGATGGTGGGGACGCGGGGCTGATGACCTCATCATCCTGGCCTTCCAGAGGCTCGCCTGTGTCCACATCTTCCAAGTCAGGCAGGTCCTGGAAGAACAAATAAACCCCTGTCAGCCAGCGGCAGGCACAAGGTCCTGCGAGCCAGGGTCGTGTGCCAGCGGAGCGTGCAGGAGGGGCGAGGAAGGGGCCGGAGCCCTCTGGTGAGCTGAGCACACTCAGCGCGGGTGTCCGGACTGTGGCGATGGAGGAGGTCGGGAGCAATGCCTTGGTCATGAAAGACTCCGCCAGCGCACCGTGGGGGAGACAACGGTGCCCAAACCACAGGCGTTTCCTAGGCCTCTGCGTGGTGTCATGTGAGTGTGGTCCAGGCCTCCCCAGACGGGGTGGGGAGTGGTTGTGCTGTGGCTGTGCGATTGTATCTTCCTCCACAGCTGCCACGCCAGCACGCGGGGTGGGCAGTGCATTAATTAATTATTATTAATTAGGCAGAGCATTGCGCAGTTGGAGGACCTGTGGAGCCCCCTGCCCTGCTTGGTGTTCCTGCCCAACCGCAGCTTGGCCGTGCAGCCTTGGGCAACTTGCTTCACCTGTTTCTCAGTGTCCTCGTCTGTGAAATGGGGATGATGATGGTACCTATCACCTCTTAGAGTTACCAGAAGGTTCAGTCTATCAGGATGTGATCCGTCTAGAGCGGTTCCAGGCAGAATAAGAACCGTGAATTCTGTGGGTCATCCCAGACATAGCTGGTTCGCTTGCCCCAGTGTTGTTTCTTAACGATACGTGTGTGGGTTCCTCAACTAGAAACCCGCTCTGAGCACTGACAGTGTCTGTGTCTCCTGAGCCACATGGAATTGTGCACTTTACCAGGGGAGTGGATGGGGGTGGCAAGGCTGCGGGCGTCTTTCTGGGGGGCCCCTAGTGAGCCCTGGCTGCCCGCGGCCGTGAGGCTGAGGGGTGACAAATGTCTCCCCACTTCTCACACCCCACTCCCCCAGTATGCTTCCTGGGGGTCATGAGGAAATGTGTGAACTCCCATGGTACCTGCTCCTGCAACCAGTCCCAAGGCGGGAAAAGCTGGGAGGAGGGGTGTTCCCAAGGAAGCCTGGCGGCAGGAGGCCAGGCACCTGGTCGCGGGGGGAGGAGGCCCTGCTGACAAGTGTCAGGTTCTCAACAATTCTGCAGAAAGCTCGCTGCACAGAGTTGCTTCGCTGTGTGACTTCGGGGAAAACAAGCTTTGTAGGGGGTAGAGGGGAGACATTTGGCCCAGCACCCCTCGATCTCGAACGTGCACATGTATGAACCCGGGGGGATCGTGTTACAAGGCCGGTCTGGCCGGAGCGTCTGCGGTGCGTTCTGACCGGCTCAGGAAGGTCGGCCCCGTTGGCCACAGAGCACTTCGCTTAGCGAGGACTTGAAGGGTTTTTGCCTGACCGGTACCAGCTGCGGAGCACAGCCCTCTCTCCAGACCGCTGCACACGTACGTCGATGCAGAGCTTCTCCTTCGCCTCCAGTCTGATGGTCTCCAGATCTTCGTCTCCACCCAGCTCTGTGCCTGCTGCACCCCCCGCGGCCACGGTCTGGGGGTCTGGTTCTAAGGACAAGAACACAGGGTTATTCACCTTGGGGCGAGTTTTACGCGCAGTGGTCAGGCTGACAAGCTGAAGGGCGGAGGGAGGCCAGCCCCCCGCACAGAAGCCGCGAGAATCCAGGTTAGGACAGGGTTCTGTCTAAAGAGAAAGGAGAGCGGGAGGAGAGAGCCACCCTCTTGCTGGAACTTGGCCGTGACTCCAAGATCAAAGTACCACCCAGGGAGCAGGTGTGGGAAAAGGCGAGGAGATAAAGGCCACCCGGGGAGGTGGAGGGGCAGGGGGCTGGAGAGTCGGGGGCAAGGCCCTGCCCAGGAGGGGCTGCCCTGCAGCGGCGGAAGTGTCCGGGAGGCCCACTAAAGAATGAAAGGGTGGGCGCCTGGGGGGTTCCGTCGGTTCAGTGTCTGCCTTCGGCTCAGGTCGTGATCCCAGTGCCCTGGGATCAGGCTCCGCTCAGCGGGGAGTCTCTTTCCCGCTTGTGCTCTTGCGATCTCCGCCTCTCTCAGATAAATAAAATCGTCAGAAAAATGAGCACAGGGTTGCCCGCGAACATGGAGTTGGGATGGGTTCCTCTCCCCACTCCAGGCTTCCAGCTTTTGAGGTCCCCAAGGCCCTGTCCTGGGGTTCTGTTCTCCCCGCTCTTCGGTCTTGCGGCTTCCGTCATTAGAGATCTGTGGCCCAACTTCGCTCATCACAGGTAGGTCCAGTGTGTGCAGTTTGGCTCCGAGAGCCCCCGGGGGGCCTCTGAGGCTGCTGTGGTGGGTGACCGCCTGCTGGGACCTCTAGACCTTCCCTCGCTAGGCCTAGCGGTCTGTCTCCACAGGCCATCCCCATGGCTTCTCCGGTCCAGTGCTTGTAATCACTGCCCCAGTCTGCTTCGCCTCGGCCAGCCCTTCCTCCTGCACCCCTTGTCCTTGTCTTGCTCGTGGCGCCGCGGTTTCCAGCTTCCCAGCCACCGGAAGATTGTCAAGGCAGCGGCTGGGTCTCTTTGTTCCCCCCAAACCGTCTGCAAGTTACTTCACTCCTCTGGGCCTCTGTTTCCACTCCCATAAGATGGGGGGCCACACGAGAGCACCCCCATGCATGTCGGGTGAACAGAGCTGGCTGTGTCTTGCGTCTACACCACGGCCAACCAGCTCCTCTTCAATTGTGCCCTCCACCCCTTCCAGACGGCAAAGGCTGGGGTCCCTCTCGGGCCACTCTGCTCCCATGCCAGCTGCAGCTCCCAAGCGAAGGCTCCGGGGGGGGGGGGGGGGCGGGCGTGCAGGGGAGTGCACGGTGACACCTGCTCCGCAGCACGTGGTCAGGCCGCCGCTGCGCCTTTTAAACAATACAGCCCGGCCGGTCTCTCTCCGTGGGAAGCTGGAGGGAAAACAGGACCCTTTCGGTAGACATTCTCTTCCAGGAACAAGGGTGACCAGGCCCTGGGGCGGTTAGCAGCCCCATGCAGCGAAGCCTTGCGAGGGTACGGAGCAGCCCACGAGTGTTTCCAAAGGAAAAAGTCATTCAGAACAAGTCGTGCTTCTCAGAGATGCATTCCAGCCTCATGGTGGAGTCTGGAGAGCTTGAGATGAGCACCTGCAGGGGTGAGCCCAGCACCAGGGAGCACCGTTCTCTTCCCGTGACTGTGGCCGTGACCATTCACATGGGACATTCGCTCCTGCAGTGCCCATGGGCTGGGCCTGCCCTACGAGCTTACTCGCCCCTCCTGCTGCTTCCTCCTTTCCTCCCACCGCCTTTCGCTCCCATGGCCAGGATCCCTGGGGAATTGCTGGGGCTCACCCCCAGCACAACAGTGTCCCTGAGCTCCTGACAGGGTTGGGTCCATCCCTTCCTACATATGTCCCCTTCCTGATGTACATTTTTCTCTCCCACGCACAGCCTGTGCAAGAGCGGACTACAAGATCAGTTTTTCAGTTGCTAATGGAAGAAAAGGATGCGGCTCTAAATCCCTGTGGATAGTGTGGGGCACTATCTGGAGGTGGGGAGAGGGCAGGGCTCTGTTGGGTTAATTATTGAGGATGGTCTGCTCTGTCCAGATCCTCTGGCTGGAAAGAGAATTCAGCCATGCCTGGCACCCTGGGGGTGTGGTATGGCCCTTGCCCCTCTGGCTGGTGTCCTTGGCGGTCAGCAGACAGCGTTACTCCTAGGTCTCTCCCAGACAGTGGGGAGCCTTCCTTCTGGGAACCTGTGTTTTGGGCCAGCCCAGCCAAACTCCTCAAACAGACCCCACATGCTGCTCAGGGGGACAAAACGTTCCCCATCTCTCAAGACCCTATGGCTGGGCACGCTCCAGGTCCCGCTCACAGCATCCCGGGCAAGTGCTGGGTTTATACGTTAGTCAGCGGGACCCAAGGAGCGTGGCTGACCCTGCCAGGGGGCCTGCATTGCCTAGATCTACATCACCCCCTACGGCGGCCACAAAGCCACGGAGGGCTGGCTCCCGGGCACCAGACATGTCACCTGTGCTCCCGAGGCACTGAAGTTCTTACTTGGTTTTTATTTTTAATTCACTTACACTTCGCACCTGAAGCAGTGAAAAACAACTCCCTCTCCCTCGAACCACTGAACCTTAAACCATCGGCCCTTAGATATCAAATATGCTCTGGGCTTTGAGGACACGGGGCTGATCAAAGTATCTCACAGAGAATTTTACATTGAGTCACATGAATATATTTCAGATCTATCAGGTTCGATTAAAACAGAATGTTGGTGTTTCACCCAACATTCTTTTTTACTCTGTTGACTAGAAAATGCGGGTCTGGCCCCACTGTATTTCCATGAGCAGTGCTGCGCTAGCAAATGAGACAAGTCTACTTTATCCTAAAGGCACAGCCGTTGGAAACTGTCCCCCAGGTGCACCGGGGGTGCACGCACGTGGCCCTCAGCTCCTTACCTTTGCAGGTAGCTCCAGGCGCGGCCGGCCTCACGGCCTCCTCCAGGTGCGGCCCCGCTGGCTCCCGGCCTTCCGTCTCTCTGCTGACCTCCACCAGCAGCTCCTCCCCAAGATTCAATTTCTCCGGGAAGAGCTCATCCTTGGCCTCAAAGCTCTCCCTGACAAATAGCTCCATTTTCTGCCGCCTCTCCCCCTCCTCACGAGGCTCCTCCTTCCCTGGCACGCTGCCATCCACAAGCTTGCTCTCCTCTGGCTCCAGCTTGTCCCCTGAACAGGAGAAGTCCAAGGGTGAGCCACAAAACGGCCTGGGAGGGCAGGGGGGGGTCTGGATGTCTCCTGGGGACATGCTGTGAGCTGCTGGGGTGAGCTCAGGGGACTGTCAAAGTGCATGCTGAGCATGGAGGAAGCAGAGCTCAGTGTCCTCGGTGGAGGTGGGGGGGTGGGTGGTGCTCAGCATGGCCGTCTAGTGGCATGCGACACGCCTCAAGAGCATGCCAAGGGCTCTTAGGAGATGCACACCGAAGCACTGGGCTTACCAGCCTTGATGTCTACCTTGACTTTGAAATGGCTCCGCAGAACGTGTGTGTGTGTGTGTGTGTGTGTGTGTGTGTGTGAGAGAGAGAGAGAGAGAGAGAGAGAAAATGTTGAACACCATCCATTCTAAGCAGGCACAATACAAGCTTTTCTGAAACTCTGAAAAATACCAAAATGAAAAGCTTGGACCAGGAAAACTGCTTTAGGAGAATGTCTGCTTTATGGAAAATACATTATGCTAATTTGAAACAATAGGCAGAAAACAATAGAGTTATGTCATTGTTCTACAAAATCCATAAATGTCACATGTGCGGGGAAAAGCCGGGAAGTGCTCATGCGAAATCCTGAGTGGTTCTTGCTGCAATTATTACTGGTGCTTTCTTGTTTCCTATGTGTGGTTGGGTTCACGTTTTGTAATTAGGTGAGAAACAGTCAATTTCATTTAAAAACACACATGGAGACTCCAGCTCCTCTACTGGGTACAGGATGAGGAAGAGGGTGCTTACTTATTAAGGTGGCCTGAGGACCGTCCCTAGGATCCTAGGGTCCTAGGGCTTGGACCTAGGCTTGGACCTAGCGCAGACCCAGGATTCACTCTCTCCCTAGAAGCCTTTAACAAACACTGACAAATGCATCGGGTGTGGGCAGGTGACTCTGAGCCCTGGATTTGGGGCAATAGATTGGGGAGATAGGGGGATTCATTTACCATAACCTGGGAGCAGACAGATTCGTGAAACTGGGTGAGAGAGGGCAAGGCCGGGAAACAGGTTCTGAGATCCTGGAATAGACCAACCAGGGCCGAGAACATCTCCCAGCCCGCCGTGATCCTGCCAAGGGAGGAATCGGGTGATACCGAACCTTTCGAGGGTTTGGCAGGCTTCATACAACTGCCCAGACTGTTGGCTCTAGTCCGAGCTAATCAGAGGGAGCATGGTCTGTGCCACAGAGAAGGCATGCTGCCACCATTCTGAGTTCACAGAACTGAATGGTCACGGTGGGCCATTAAAAGGAACGAAGTTCGGATCATGCAGTCACCTGGAGGCACCCCAAAGCACTATGCCAGGTGAGAGAAGCCAGACGCAAAGGTCACGTCTTACGGGGAGCGCCATATATACGAAGCACCCAGAAATGCAGGTGGTGGTCATCAGGGGCTGGTGGTGGACAGCATTGTGGTGATGGGGAGGGGTTACTGCTCACCGGCACAGGGTTTTATTCTGGGATGATGACAATGTTTTGGAAATAGAGGTTCTGGTTGCCCCACACTGTGATCATACCAAATGCCCCGTCGGAAGGGTCAATTTTGTTATGTGAATTTCATGTCAATGGAAAGAAAGGTCCAGGGCCTCCATGTTTTTCCACGGTGATTCTCCGGAACCCGGGCTGCAGCTCCCTCCCTGGCCCCCCAGCACTGGGGCCACCTTGCCCCCACATGAGCCACCAAGCTGATGCCACTAGCATCCCCCCTTCATGCCCTACCACCTTCCTGTCACCTGCCACGGCAAGGCTGGTTTTCAGGGCCCTTCTAGATGTGATGTCGCCCAATGCAGCTAACCTTATTTGATTTCCCAGTTTCCAAATGAATTCCAAGCACGGGCATCTGACTGTCCTCTGCAGCTCCCCAGGGGAGGCGTGGGCTCCTCAGGGGAGCGGAACCCCATGCTCTCCCTGTGGGCATCTGTGACAATGTCTGCATGCGAGGAAGTACGTGGGCCTGACATGTGGGTGCCAAAACCTATTTCTTTACTCCACTCCCTGCAGACAAACGGTGGATTTAAGGGAGCAGTAGTATGAATGGAAAACCTTAATAACCACGTGACTGAGATTCGGAAGGCACAGACTGAGCCCTTGGTCTAGATGCTGGCTGGTGGTGTTGCTGTCTGTGGCCCTACCTGGGGTCAGCAGGAAATCAGTACACCGCCACACTGCTTTCATAAGAATTCAGGATGTTCCTTTGCGGTAGACAAAATAATGGCCCCACAAAGGCATCGGGCTGCTAATCCCAGAACATGTCATTATGTGACCTCATGTAGTAAAAGGGACTTGGCCGATGAGATTAGGACCCTGAGATGGGGCGATGATCCTAGATTATCGCAGTGGGCTCGGTGTCACCACACCTTAAGAGAGGGGGGCGGGAGGGGGCAGGGTGTCAGAGCTAGAGAGAGACTTGAAGGTCCTGCCTAGGAAGGCGGGGGAGGGGCCACGGGCCCAGGGATGAGGGCTCCTCTGGAAGCTGGAAAAGACTGAAGAACAGATTCCCCCTGGAGTTTCCAGAAGGAACGCAGCCCTGCCTGCACTTTGTAGCTCCGTGAGACCCGCCATCAGACTTGTGAGCTACACAGCTGTGATGATAAAATGGATTGTTTTTCAAGTCCCTAAATTTACGGTAATTTCTTAGCATAGTCCAAGAACAGTAATATATCGCTTATTTGGGAAAAGGGAGGCTATTTTAACACAACTGAGCTTCCATCCCTGAAAGTGGATTGAAACTGTCCATTCATGCTAGGGTCCTTCCCCGCCCTTGGCAGGTGAGTGAGGCCACAGGCACGTGGATCCGAACATGTGTGTGAATCCAAGGTCAGAAATGAATCCCCAAGATGAAAGACCAAGTTCCCCAGCCCAGACTTGTAGTCTAAAGGGAGCCCTGGGTGCTGCTCCCATCCCACACTCGTACCTTCCTCCCAGCTGGCTTTCTGCCGCCTTCTCTCTTCCGCCCGCCGCTTGATCATCGCCAGCGCCTCGATGCTGTCCTCGATCTTCTTCCGCTCCCGGCTCTCCCACTGCTGTCTCTCCTCTTTCTCAGCGGCAAGCCCGCCCCTGGCCCAGGCCTCCGCACAGGCTCTGTAGAGGAGGACAACCAAGAAACAGAAAGTGGGGAGATCTGAATCTTCACTGGTCGAAAGTAAATTCAAAACAGACTGTCTCACCAAACATGTTCATTTCCCCCAAACCAAACTGAAGGCACGCGGGACACGTGGTTACAAGGATACCAGTTCCTACGTGCACATGTCTGTCCTTGGTTGTTTCCAGAGCCTTCTCCATGGGATGCCAACAGCACCAGCAATAAAAGGAAAAATAGAGAAGTCGGCCTCCATCAAAATTAAAAATGTTTGAGGGGCGCCTGAGTGGCTCAGTGGGTTAAGCCTCTGCCTTCGGCTCAGGTCATGATCTCAGGGTCCTGGGATCGAGCCCCACATCGGGCTCTCTTTTCAGTGGGGAGCCTGCTCCCCACTCTCTCTCTGCCTGCCTCTCTGCCTACTTGTGATCTCTCTCTCTGTCAAATAAATAAATATAATCTTTAAAAAAATTAAAAATGTTTGAGACAAAAAGAACGCCATAAACAGAGTATAAAGGTACCCCATGGAATGAGGGACGGGGTCTGAGATCATATGCCTACGGAGGGACGTGTATAGAGCATACATGAAGAACTTCCATGACTCATGACTGCAAAGACAACACAATCTAAAAGTAGGGGGAATTTCAAAGAATGAAATGAGAAGACGCAGATTGGGAGAAAATATTCATGGGTAAGATAACTGATAAATGGCTTATATCCAAAACAGACAACTATGAAACCTCAAAAAAAAAAAAATCACCAAAAAAAAAAAAGTGGGAAATAACCTAATGACCTAGACACTTCACCCAGGAAGGCAGGCAGATGGCAAAGCAGCTGAAGATGCTGTGACATCGGGGAACTGTGGTTACAGCAGCGAGAGGTACCCCAGCACACCTGTCAGAACAGCAGAAATCCCACACACTGCCACCAGACATTGGCGAGGAGGTGGCCTCCCGTGGCTGCTGGGAACTCGGGCCCACGCCGCCAGCTTGGAAGAGCCTGGAAGCTACAGAGCTACAAGAAATCCTCCCCGACCAGCCGGCACCGTGCTCCCAAGGGTCTGCTCTACGCAGCTGAAAACAAACGTCCACACAAAAGCCTTCAGCAATGTCCACAGTGGCGCCCTTCACAATAGCCCCAAAGTGGAAACAACCCCAAGTCCATCGGCTGATGGCTAAATACAACGTGGGGTGTCTAAGGGGAATCCTGTCTGGGGATGTTATGTTGGAAGGAGTTACGGACACACGCTTCAGTGTGCGTGAACCTTGACACTACGATGCTGAGTGAAAGCAGCTGGTCACGCGAGACCACATGTGGTATGAGTCCGCCAATATGAAGCATTCAGAATAGGAAAAATCCCCTAGAGACGGGGACTGGCAGAGGGAAGAATGAGGACTATCAGCTAACGAGTAAAGGTTATTCTTTGGGGGCAATAAAAATATTGTAGAATTGATGCGGTCTTAGTTGCCCAACTCTGCGAATGTACTAGAGACTGTTGAGTCACACACTTGAAGTGGGAGAACCGGTCCAGGGGCTGGGGATACAGCAGGGAAAATAAGAGGTGACAATACCCGCTGCCTTTTTATGGGGACAGACAGACCCTAAAGAAGGAAACGAGTATGTGAGAGGCTGATGTATCCTAAGAAGCGAAATCCGGTTAAAGAGACACCAGGTGGGAAAGGTGCTCCTGAGATAGGGGCTGGGTCAGGGAGGGCTTCCTGAGGTGACGGGGGAGGGGACACACGCAAACACCTGTGAGGAGCTCCCCAGGCAGGGAGAACAGCGAGTGGCTGGCGTGGGACCGCTAGGGATGGGAGGAATGAAGACTCAAACCCAGGGGAGCCCGACCCCTGAACCGAGTGGCTCTACGCAGGGCCAGTTCCTGTCCCCCTGGATGAGGCTCAGAGTCCTTAGTCGCAGCCACTCCCACTGGCTCGCTCCTTCTGACCCCGCCTGTGCTTCTCAAATCTCACCTGTTACTCACAAGCACCCTGAGGTCATATTGTCCCTACTTTTCAGATGAGGAACGTGAGGCTGGGGAGGTTAGCGAGCCTGTCTGAGGGAACAGAGCTCAGGGCTGCGGGGCTGGGCTCCAAAATCCTCACCCAGCCTCTGCTTGGTGTCTCCCCACTGTTGCCCCCAGGGCTGGGTGCCTCCTCTCTGCCGCCCTGACTTCCCAGAAGCAGGTGGTCTTTTTTTCTGACATGGTTGGCATACGGGCTCTCCCTTCTCTTTGAGATATTTGTTACTTTAACTTTATGAATTCAAAAACATATTAGCAGCTGCATGGTTTCGGAAATGCTGTGTGCTTTAAAATTCAAACTGCCCTTCCCTTCGAGCAGCCCATGTTACTGAGGTTTTATTCTAAGGCGGAAGGAATAGTGACCTAAATTAAAAACGTAGATATTAAAGTAGCGACAACACACAGGGCAGTCTGTGCTCAATATTCTTAACATAAAAAAAGAGCTCCTACGAACCAATAACAAAAGGACTTCCAAAAGGATACTGAGAGGAAGTTACAAATGGAGGAATCCCAGAGGAAGAGATCCGCCTGCCCGACAAACACAGTAAGACCGCCGGACCTCATCGGTTACCCCCAAAATAAGAGGAGACGCAATCTCTACTGATCAGTTCACCCGGTGAAGATTTCTTTTACACGGCTCTATTGGGTGAAGTCATGAGCTGTTACAAACTTTCTAGAAAACAGTTAGAAAATATTTACAAGCACCTTTAACAAGGCTCAAACCACAGTCTTTAATCCAATAATACGACTCTTAGAATCCCACCCTATGGAAATCAACATGAGGTCAGAGACTTATGTGCAAGGATGGTTAGCAGAGGATTATGAAGAAAAAAAAACTGTGCTCAGAAGTAGGGAATTTCTTGTTATGAACAATGATGTCACCCTGAAACTTGTTTCCGAAGAATATGTAATGATGTGTGAAAATGCTCACAAGTCAGAAACATGTACAAGTTCACTCTTAAGTGTGCTCAACGATGCCATATAAAAATGTGGGGAAAAAAAAGGCTTCTCTCCTCCTTACCTGTCCTTGGGGAAAACTGGTCTGTCATCCAGGTACGTTAAATGTTTTAGTCGAACGGTGACAGTCTTTCGATAATTAGCGATGTGCCTAATAACGGGGTTTCCCATCAAATTCAGGACACGCTGGAAGCACAGGCAGAACCAGACTGATTAGTAAACCATGGGTGTGATTCAAAGAGCTTACATGTGCTGCGCTCTGAGAATCCATAAATACAACACCTGTGCCCCCGTCCCCTCCTGAGAACTTTATTAGGGAAGCCAGAAGGTTGTCCTTGGCTTTCATGCCGTCAGACCCGTCCTGATCATGGAGCAGCCCTTTCTTGTATTTGAATTCCAGACCCGAAATCTCAACTGTCCTTCCAGAACAATCTTTTTTTTTTTTTTTAAGATTTTTAATTTATTTATTTGACAGAGATCACAAGCAGGAAAGAGAGGCAGGCAGAGAGGGAGAGGAGGAAGCAGGCTCTCCGCGGAGCAGAGAGCCCGATGTGGGGCTCTATCCCAGGACCCCGGGATCATGACCTGAGCCGAAAGCAGAGGCTTTAACCCACTGAGCCACTCAGGCACCCCATTCCAGAACAATATTGGAAAACACATCCAAAGCCTGTCCAACTCAGCGAGGACATTATTTTGCTCACCCAAGCTCTTTTGCTGACCGTAACCTCAGGCTGATTGATTGATTTCTCTCCCTCCCAGACAGCACCGATTTTAAGAAAGCGTACACAGCAGCAGGGTGGGCGGGGGGTGGGGGGTGGGGGCGGGACAGGAAGCATGGATAGGGAAAGGATGGAGGGTGCCCGCTCACTAGGCTCATGCATCTGCTGGATGTCTTTGGGACCTGTGTGGCATCATCACCTGTCCTTAAACCAATTTCTAACCCCCACACCTCACACTGTGGCTGCATTTGAAGAAAGGGCCTTTGGGCACCTGGGTGGCTCAGTTGGTTAAGCAACTGCCTTTGGCTCGGGTCATGATCCTGGAGTCCCAGGGTTGAGTCCCACATGCGGCTCCCGGCTCCATGGGGATTCTGCTTCTCCCTCTGACCTTCTCCCCTTTCATGCTCTCTCTCAATGTCTCTCCCTCAAATAAATAAGTAAAATCTTAAAAAAAAAATAAAGGGCCTTTAAAGGGGTGAATCAGATTATATGCGGTCCTTAGGGTAGGCCCTAGTCCGGCCTGATGGGTGTCCTTAGAACAGGGGACTGGGACACAGACACATAGAGGAGACAATGGGAGGACATGGGACATCAGGGGAGGCCTCGGGAGAAACCACTACCCCCCACCCTCTGACACTTTGGTCCAGGACGACTTCTACCCTCTAGAATCAGGAGAAAGTAAATTTCTCCAATAATAACAATTCTCCAAATAAACAATTTCTCCAAAATAACAATTTCTCCAAATAAACAAATAAATTTGTTTAAGCCACCCAGTCTCTGGTACTTCATTACAGCAGTTAAACGAAAAGAAAATAAAAAAGTATTATATGATACAGCTTTATTTGATGGCTGTGTGCTGGCAATTCTAACTAGTCCTGCTCGATGATCTACTAGAAAGTTGTTCCCGAACTATGATTTCCTTACTATTTTTCTTAAAATGGACTCATTTTTTCCTTACATAGTATGGACTCTGATCAGTAAACAGTGAACTCGGGGTTTTGCGGTTCTATTTTTAATATGTTCCCCAGAGCACATGACAATACAGGCACACGGGAAAGCAAGGAAGCCATCAAGGGGCTCACAGGACGGGGTTGGCCACAGGTTGGAAGATGGGACTGTCTAAATATCCAAAATTAAAATGACACCAAGGGTTATACCCTATCAAATACGGCAGCCATAAACCCGTGAGTATACATAAACCCGACACCATGGAAGGAAAAACTGTCCCTTGTCACCATTAGTGGTTGCTAGGGCTTGGCTCCTTTCTCTGAAAATCCATGAATGAACAAGAAAGAACCAAGACTTCATCATGGCCCTTTCTGTATGAACTATATACTGGGGAACCACTAGGAGACGAGGGAGTTCCTCATGGCAGAAGCGCTCCAGCTAATAAAAGAGGCAGGAACAGGAGGGCTGGACGGTGGCCACCGCGTGGCTCCTGAAGGAAGGGCTCACACTCCGAGGGTGGAGATGGAGGGAGGAGGCTCTACCTTGGCTGCAGCAGGGGGGCGACCCCGGAGCCCCATCTGGCTGTGTTCGAGTTACAAACGAGGGAGGCAGGCAGACTTCACAGGCCCTGTGAGGGGGCGCAGCGACCCCCCTCCCAGGAAAACCCTGAAATGAACACGCCTCAGCTCCGCCGGCATCGCCCGAGAACTGCGGGTCTGAGCAGAACGGGATACGGGACGCCACGGGGAGGCCGCCAGCCAAATCCAGAGTGTGGCAGGGTTCTGAGGAAGGAACTGGATTCCTTGACAGGTTAAGGGGAGGGGGACCCTTCGGGAAAAGAAGGGCTTATGGGTCTGAGATCTGTGAGCGGCATGACATGGTATCTGGCACGCGTGGTACTCCAGCTAAAGACCCCGAGAGCACAGGCGGGATGAAGGACGAAGGGGAGGCGAGGAGGGGAGCGGACGGCCTCTGGAGATCGGGTCTCTACGGAATGCACGTTTTACCAAATCAGGCATGCTCTCCAGGATGCTCAGGATTTCCGGATCGCTCAGCTTATTGTGGGAAAGGTCAAGGACGCAGAGTTTCAAGCAGTCCTTTAGGTGCTGAATGTCTTCCACGGTCTCTAAGTGATTGTGGGCCATCTGGAGCGTGTTCAGGACCGGCAGACAGGCTGCAAGGGGAGGTCGGCGGACGTGAGCAATGGGGGTCCGCACACCTTTCAGAAGCCCCTCTCGCCCCCCCGGGGGGAAGCGGTGGGCACAAGGGCGTCCGGACCCCCGTGGCATCTTACAGAGGTTTTCAATGGTCTTGATGTAATTGTTGCTCAGGTTGAGGGCATCCAGTTTCTGCAGAGGTTCTAAGTTCTCGATTTTATGCAGCAAGTTCACTTGCAAGAAGAGGCAGCGCAGCTCTGTCTGGGCGTTCAGGTTCTCGATCTTCTGGATCCCGTTGCACTCCAGCCAGAGGCAGCGCAGCCCCGTGTACTCCTCCAGGTGCTCGATGCGGTCAAAACCTAGGGAGGAGGACTGCGGCGTCGGATTCGCCCCCCACGCGTGCACACGCTTGGCTGACTACCAGCCCTCCAGCCACACCTCCTTCCTCTGGCGACCCCGCTGCTGCTTTTCTTTGGGGACCTGCCTTGGGCTCAGGTCGCTCATGACCCTGGGGTCCTGGGATCGAGCCCCAGGTCAGGCTCCCCCAGGTCTGCTGATACTGCCCCCCCTGCCCATACACACACACCATGGCTCCCTGGGCGGCCAATCAGAGTCACAGCAATCACTCTGCACGGGTCACACTTAGCCAAGCAAGGCCAGCTTGGATGAACTCTGGGAGGTTTCGCTGACTCCGGTGGAGAGAGGGAGTCTTTCTGCTGGAATGACCAGCTCCGTCGGGTGGAGCCTAGTGCCGCAGCGGCTACCTTCCCTTCTCGGCTGGGAGTGGGTGGAGGTGAGGGGCAACCTGCCTCAAATGAACCAAAGGAAAGCAGGGCCAAGCCCGGGAGGCTATGCCATGAGCACAGCCTTGGGCTAAGACCCAAGCAAGGACAAACTGTGGGCCTTTCCCTCTTTATATTTTTCAGATTTTATTTGACAGAGAGAGAGAGAGAGCACACAAGCAGGGGGAGTGGCAGAAGGAGAGGGAGAAGCAGGATCCTTGCTGAGCAGGGATCCAGACCTGGGGAAGCCCAACCTGGGGCTCGGTCCCAGGATCTCTGGGGTCAGGACCAACCTGCGCCCAAGGCAGACACTTGACCACTGAGCAATCCAGGTGCCCTCCAGCTGTGCGTTTTGTTTTATTTTTCAGTTTTAGGAGCCAAATTTAAGGTTAGGAAAACAAACGCTCTTTGCTTTGGTAACTCACCGTCAGTCTGTAATTCAGGATTCATCTGCTATTACCAAAGCCTTCGAAAAGTTATTTTGTTGTCTGAAAAAGTTTTAATTAAAAAGTTACAGTATTGGGGCGCCTGGGTGGCTCAGTGGGTTAAGCCTCTGCCTTCGGCTCAGGTCATGATCTCAGGGTTCTGGGATCGAGTCCCGCAGTGGGCTCTCTGCTCAGCAGGGAGCCTGCTTCCTCCTCTCTCTCTCTTTGCCTGTCTCTCTGCCTGGTTGTGATCTCTGTCTGTCAAATAAATAAATAAAATCTTAAAAAAAAAAAAGTTACAGTATCCCTTGTGAGCCAGAATGACCCAGCTAAGCCACTCCCTGGGTCCCGGTCCTCGGAAACAGCACCAGATAATGAATTTGTTTCAGGTTACTAGCTTTGGGGACGATCTGGTCTGTGACAGCACAAGATTATATGGGCACATGTCCTTATATATTGTCTTCTACCTTCTTTCCACTTTGTCTGACCCGTGAGATCCTCTTCTTCCTACCTGTTAAATATCGGGTCCCCTGGGGTCCGCCCTGCTGTCATTCCAGGCACTGAGACACCTCCACATTGGGTGCAGAATTTCGGAGGGGGCCACGTGGAGGTGAGGAGACCAGTTAGGAGTCATTGCATTCCTCGCATTTCTTTAAGGCGTGTGTGCTGCTGGTGTCTTTTGTGGGCCTCACAGTGGCTGCCCCATCCCCCAGGACACCCAAGGCATCTTGGCCATCTGCATCTCCGGATCTCCAGCACTGAGCACAGAGGATCTTGGTAAACGCGTAGTGACTGAATGAGGACCACACAGAGGACCTAGGGAGCAGGTCGGCCACCCTGCATGCAGAGGCAGCGGAAGCTGTCCCTCCTGTTCATCTTTGCTGGAAACTAGCCGGGTCTGCGAACCCCAGATGAGGTTTACATGTGACCCTGCACGCCAAGCCTGGGTCCCCCTGGATGCCACTGGTCATGCTTCTCCGATCTGGGAGGCACTGACCACTCTCTTCTTTCAAGACACGTCCCCCCAAGCCCAATGTCCACCACTAGATTGGTGGCTTGAAAAATGTGTAGGTCCTTCAGAAAATAAAAATTAAGGATATCAACATGCTCCCTTGCTATCCGCAGAGTCGGTGGTCCCCTTTATAAACTCCACTCGGGGAAGACATGTCAAGGAAAGATGATTGCTTTTCTACAAATCTTCACTCAACTCTGAAATTTCTACTTCAGTGAATTTTGAAAACTCCAGAGGATCCCAGCAAGAAATTTTGTTGACGTCTAGAGCCTTCGCCCTGACACAACATACCTCTACTGGTCCTTACCTTTAAAGTGTAAATATAGTGTATCATTCAGTGCTGGGGTAATATAAAGCTTGTGTTGCTTGCAGAGTCTTTGCAGAAAACTTTTAGTCATTCTGTTAAGTGAACAAGAAATTGATTGCAATTTGTCATTTGTGAAATATATTCCAAAACTTCTCTACCACACCCATTTCTTCCTTAAATTTCAAAATAGCCTGCATGACTGATAACTTTTTATTTTTTTGCCTGATAAACTATTTTAAATTCTTTTTTTGCATGCCTTTCAGGGCCTCATCCAATATCATTACTTTCAGCATTCTTAAAAATTGCAATGTATGTTCTAATAAAAATACTTTTAATAGTGTCATCAAGAACTACTGATGTTTCTCTCTCCAGGCCTGGCATTAAAGTTTAATACATTGTGGTTAGCTATGTCATAGAGGCAGAGCTGCTCTGACTCTGATACTGATTCTCAGACACTAGGGCAACTGTTTAATCTCTGGGAGCCTCAATTTCCTTGTCTATACGAAAAGGTGATGACACTACCTACCTTCCTCGGTAAATGTGTACTGTAATTGGCAGCAGCGTACCTGGGACCACAGTCTTCCTTGTCATCTCTCTGGTGTGTGAAGTGACTGTCCGACCTGCTGTCACCGCTCTGTTTCTGCTCACTTGGGTACGACGTGGCAGAAGGACCCACACATATTTCCTTCGGATCATTAATTTCTATAAAAGAAGAGATTTGCTCTACAGAGATGAAGGGATGTATAGAAAGTTTGCCCATTTTCAACTTGATTAATAAATGTCTGCTTTTAGTATGGACCGGGAATACTCTTGAATCGTGTGGCAGTGTGTAAAGCATTGGTAAGGACCGTGGAAATGTCGGTTCTGGGCAGGTCCTCTCTGAACCCTCAGGTACTTGGGGGCACCTGGGTGGCTCATTCATTAAGTGCCTGCCTTCAGCTCGGGTCGTAGTCCCAGAGTCCTGGGATCGGGCCCCACATCGGGCTCCCTGCTCTGTTGGGAGGCCTGCTTCTCCCTCTCCCATTCCCACTGCTTGTGTTTCCTCTCTCGCTGTCTATCAAATAGATAGATAAATCAATCAATCAATAAATATAAAAAATAAAATCTCGGGTACAGGGGCACAAGGACACGTGTACAAAGATATTCATCATTGCATCACTTTTAACAGCCAAAGACTGTCAACAGTGCAAACGTCTCCCCATTGTGACTGGTTAAACAGTGGGTTAGGATTTTGCCTTGGAGAAGAATGCATCAGAGCTACATTAATAAATGCAGAAATTCTCAGAAACATGTATGACATGATAAAGCAAGTTTCATAATAAGCACAGGGTACCATTTATGTAAGTTAAAAACATACAAACCAATGCGTTATGTATTGTTTAAGAAATATATATATATATATATATATATATATATATATATACGGGGGGAGAGCATGTGCAGGAGGGAGGGGAAGAAAGAGAGAAAGAGAGATATAGATAGACAGAGAGAGATGATTTAAAGAATCCACACAAAATTCCAAAGAAGGGAAGGGAAAAGGGAATGGGAATGAGGAGGAGGGCAAAAGGAACACCAACTTTATCTGAAATGTCTTATTTCTTCAATTAAAAAAAAAGACTTGGGGCACCTGGGTGGCTCAGTGGGTTGAGCCTCTGTCTTTGGCTTGGGTCATGATCCCAGGGTCCTGGGATGGAGCCCTGCATGGGGCTCTCTACTCAGCGGGGAGCCTGCTTCCCCCACCCCCCCAGGGCTGCCTGCCTCTCTGCCTACTTGTGATCCTTGTCTGTCAAATAAATAAAATCTAGAAAAAAAAGACTTAAAAATGATAAAATGTTCATCATTTTCAATTCTTAGTGATGACACATGGTGGTTGTTAAAATGTTCCCTCTTCCTTTTTAAAAGCGCCCAAAAGAAAAGCCATGGGAGAAGAAAGAAAGGTGGTGAAAATATCTTTGGTAAAAAGAGAAAGAGCACATTCAAAGTCACTTAATTTTGTTTAAAGGTCAATCAAAATCAGCCAGTTCAAATGCACTTAATTTCTAAGAGCCGTTGGCTTCTGGGCGCTGTGTTCCTGTGGTCTATTGAACCAGACTAAATGCTCTGTGTGTGGGAGTGTGTCTTACACTCTTCCATTTCCCACCGCACACAATGCCCAGCCACAAGAGGCACCAGATAAGTGTGGAATAAATGAAGAGGAGGGACTCAATATACATGATTATCTGAATATGAGAACTAGCCTTGCTTAATGGCCCACTGTAACCCAGAAGCCTAACTGTAATGATCTCTGCCTATGGACGAGTAGGCCGGACGAGTATGGGGTGACAGCCATAAAGCTGATGAGTTGTGGAGCTGTAATCTGGATCCAGCGGGAGTGGCTCCAAAGCCTGTCTCTTTCCAGAGAGCTACACGGCTTCCCTACAGCGCTTCATACAGGGCGTGCCCGGACAGTTAAAGCTGTGTTTGTTGACCCGGTTCAAAAAATGAAACACAGGGCGCCTGGGTGGCTCAGTGGGTTAAGCCTCTGCCCTCGGCTCAGGTCATGATCTCAGGGTCCTGGGATCGAGCCCTGCATCGGGCTCTCTGCTCAGCAGGGAGCCTGCTTCCTCCTCTCTCTCTGCCTGCCTCTCTGCCTGCTTGTGATCTCTGTCAAATAAATAAATAAAATCTTAAAAAAATAAATATTTAAAAAGTGAAACACAGATCAAGTAGTTTATCTAGTTGTTAAACAATTTCCTTTAGGGCCTCAAAGCGGGAACAGAGGCTGAAGTGTGTCTGGGAGACTGGTGAGGCGTCACCCGGTGACCCCAGAACCACCAGCTCCTCGTTCCGCTCCACGGTGGGTCAGGCACTGGACCGGGCACTGCGGACTCAGCCAGGACGTCCTGCCCCAGCGCCTTTGCTCTTACAGGGAGATAGCAATGGAGGGATACATTCAAAACACGCCACCGGTAGGCGACGGGGAGACGGGCGTGCTGGGAAGGGCCCGCGCTTTGGGTCGGACTCTCCAGCGGGGTCTGCTCTACCGTGGACCGCACGAGGGGGACATCTTTGGAGCAAGCTCCGGGACCGCTGCGGGTCTCGGTGTCTTCGCCGCACGAAGAAGGGGAGGAGCGCGCACCGCTGGGGGCGGGAGCACGGCTCCGGAGGTGTGGGCGCTCCTGCTGTCATGACTACCGTTACCGTCGGCTGACAAGGGTAGGGGTGGCGCTGGGTCAGCCCACCGCCCCCCTCGGCTCCCTCGGGCCGGCGGTCTGCACCTTCCTTGCGGCCCCGCGGGCCCGCGTCCCCGTGGTCTCCCGCCGACTCCTCCACGCCCGGCTCCTGCGCGCAGCCCTGCTCCGGCGGCCCGTCCACCACGGGCTCCGAGGTCTCGGGGTGCATGCTTACAACGGATACACCGGACACCCGGTTCCGCGGGGTCGCGACCGCCCCCGGCGCGGTCGGGGAGCTCTGCTTTCCTCCTTCCCCTCCGACCACTAGCGTCCGAGTCGTTGGCAGCCCAACGCTTGCCTGGTCTCCACGGCAACCGCCGCGCACGCGCACTCGGGGGGGGCGCGCGTCGGGACGTCAGGGGCGGGCCACGCAACGGCTCCGCCCCCGGCGCGTGCGCGGGTCACGTGGGGCGCGGCCCGCGGCAACTGCGGCGGCGGCGGTGGTGACTGGGGTGTTGCTGGTGACGGGGGCGGCGGCCGCGCGGCTCTGGCGGGACCGGCTCCGAGACTGCGCCGCCTCTGCAGGTACCACGCCCCCACCTCACCCCGCGCCTCCCCGCGCCTGGCCCGGGGACCCGGGCCCACTTGCTGTCCTTCGGCCCGTGCCTCCCGGTGCGCCCCGCCACGCCCCCCGGGACCGTACCCCTCGGCGCCATCGGCACCCCGGACCCCCTTCGTCTCTCCGTCCCCTCGGACCCCCGCCTCGGCACCCCTCCTTCCAGACTCGCCGCCCAGCCCCACGGCGCCCCTTCCCGGCTCCATCCCGGAGTCGCACCCCCGGAGGACCCTCTGTCCTGGGTCCGCCCTCTCCCCCAGGACTCGGCAGACCCGGGGCCCCACCCACCCGAGCGCGGCCCCTCTGCCGCAGACCCCAGCCCGGGGCTCCTTGCGAGGCTCCGAGACTCACCCCTTTGTCCGTGCTCCTTTATTCTCATTTCTGGAGGACTTGGTTGGAGTGGCATTTGTTGTCGTCTTTGTTCTGAATTAGGAGTAATTCGGAATCAGGGCGCTCTGGAAGGAAGGGCACCCGCGGCTCCCGAAGCGCGGGGGTTTGCTGGGGTTTGCTGGGCGCTGCCGGTTGCTGGAGAGGAAGGCTTGGGAGATGGATGAAGCCGTCCCCTGGTTCAGAGGAACGTGCTGCCCGGTGGACCCAAGCAAGCCCTGGAGCCCTGGCGGTGATGCCCGCAGGACTCCCGCCCGGGGGGTCTCACAATGGGGCGGCTAATCAGGCGTCTGGACTTCGGTAGACCTCGATCCCAATTCCCGTGGGGGCTGGGTATGTCACTTGCATCTCTGTCGGCCTCAGTTTCCCCATCTGTAAACGGGTGATTGTAACTCAGCCCCCTAAGGTTGGTGAGAGAACAGTGAGGTGTGAGGGACAGAGCTCTTTGCTTAGGGGCGTCTGGGTGTTTCAGTCGGTTAAATTGGCTGCCTGCAGATCCGGTCATGATTCGGGGGTCCTGGGATCAGGCAGAGAGCCTGCTTCTCCCTCCCCTTTGCTGCTTCCCCTGGTCGTGCTCTCTCTTGCTCGATCTCAAATAAATCTTTAAAAAACAACAACAAAAAAACCCCACAAAAAAACCCCAGTCCTCTGCTTAAAGCCAGCTCTGAGTTCTAACCCTGACCAGTGCTAGCTCACCTTGAACGCGGAATTAGAGGAGCTAATAGCTAAGGTTCACTGAGCATTGAAGTTTGGGGACTGTTCTGTGCTTTACGTGTATGACTTCGTTTAATTCTTAACATCTTAGGCTGGAACTCTTATCTCCATGTTTTGGTAACGTCGGGTAACGTAAGGAAAACGCGGAGGTGAAGTAACTTCAGCTTCATCCAGCACAGCTCTTGGGAGGGGGAGAGCCTTGATCCGACTCCAGGAAATCTATTTTCAGTCTGTGGTTTTGTCACTACAGTAATGTTCTAGGAGCAAAGAGTTCAACAAATCAGTATTTTTTAAGTAGATTTTAAAAGTTGGCAGAAAATTCATAGGACATAAAATTCATCCCCTTAGCCATTTTAAAAGTGTGTTCTTCACAGCAGAGCATTCACTATGTACCACAGCCCCCACTGTTTAATTCCAGAACATTCCCAGCATCTTCAGAAAAAAATCCTACCCTTGTTAGCAGTCACTCCCCCATCCTGCTGTGCCTTTGCTCTGGCCACCCTGATCTACTCTCTGTCTCTGGATTTGCCTTACCTGGACAGTTCATATAGATGATCAGACGGTGTTTGGTCTTTCGCTGAGCGTGGTGTTTCCGGGGTCTGTGTTTTCGGGGTCTGTTTCAGCGGCACGCCCCGCTTCTGTCTTTTTATTGCTGTCTGATACTCCATTATGCGGACAGATCGCCTTTTGTTTACCTATTTGCCTGCTGATAGACGTTTGGGTTATTCCCCTGTGTTATCTATTGTGAACGGAGCTGCCTGCAGTAGGCTCTACAAGTTTTTTGTGTAAGTTATCTTGGGTGGATACCTAGGAATGGATGCCATTGTTATTTTAATTCCAAATGGAGCCCTGAAACCCAGGCCTATTGGATCTCGGATGAGAACTCCCATTTCTGCCCTTTCTGCCGAGCTCCCCGTGAATTCAGGTTAGTGGTATCCCAAAAGTGGGCAAAGGAAGGAAAGGAAATTCCAGAATGTCATGATACACCAGTAGTAACTTTGTGAGAGTACTAACACAAAGGTTGAGAAGCTCCTTACGTTTTTTTTCTCCTCGAGTGAAATCTGAGCTTTGAACCCAAAGCTGTGTTTGCTTCTATTTATTAAATAGATGTTTTATACAGACTTATACCAGCTGCTGAGGAGGAATTGTAATGGTGGGGGCGATCCCAGCCTCACACCACCACCGAGCCCTCGCAGGAGGGTTAAAGGCGTAAACCTGCAAAGCAAAATTGTGAAAAATTCGAGAAAAAGGTACTGGAAAATGCCTTTATGTCCTGGGGCTAAGAGGGGATTTCTTACCTGAAACCCAACAAAGCACAAAGCATACAGGAAAAAGATTGATGTGTTTGCCGTGCGATTGAGGTGTTCGTTCATCAAAAGCACTATAAAGCGAGCAAACCTAGAGATCTAGAACAGAGAGGGAGAAGGGAGACAACACAGCGGAAGGGCAGAAGCTAGGAACAGGCTCACAGATAGCAGAGAAGCTTCATAAGGATGCAGTCAACCTTATCAGTCATGAGGAAATGAAAGTTAAAGCCAGGGTGCCCCCCCCTTTCAAGGCCACCCTGGGGGCCGAAGGTGAACCTACTGGTGCAGCCAGTTGGGGAGGGACACTGTGAACTAACGCTGGCTGACTGTGCTGGGGATTGGCCCAGCAGCTGGAGCAGTGCCTGCAGGGGCCCGGCAGCGGGACTCCGGTATGTCCCTTCAACGGACTTGGGCGCCTGTGTGTTCGGCTCCTCTGTTCCTAACTGTAGAGTAAAAGCCAGAAAAACTCCATCCCAAATGCCCGTCAGCGATAGAATGGCCGTGTGAATCCCGGTGCGTTTGTCCCGTGACCCTTGTGCACGGGGAAAGTATATCACAGGGACGAGACTCGAAGACAGCGTTGAGTGAAAAAACATCACCAGAAATACACACCCTGTGATTCCTTTAGAGAAAGTTCCAAACCAGACAAAACAGAACACTTTTCTTTCAGAAAAGTTGCTGGGGTAACCGTACCACTTTTTTTTTTTTTTTTTTTTTTTTAGGGCAAGGGAACCGGGAGGTCAGAATTGAGGAGGGTGGTAACCCTCCTGGGGGGCCCAGAAGGTGATGGTAGGATCAGGGGAGAAGCTATGGGGCTTCTGAGTGGGGTGGCCTCGCGGGTGTTTGGTTATTCTTTGAAGTATGTGTAATAGGTTTTACAACTTCTGTGCGTATTTTTCAGTTTTTTCAAGTGGCAGCAAAATTAGTTTTGGATACACCTGCTCTTGAGAAGCTTGTGCTCTGGCTGGGGAACCAAGAGACAAGGGAAACAGCCGAACGGAACCCAGAGTGGTGAGGGAAGGGCCTTGTGGGTGAGACCGGGAGATGGGAACTCGGGGTCTCGGTGCAGTGGCCAAAGGAGGAGCGGGAAGCGGCACAGGGCTCCCCTTCACCCCACGCCTGGCGTGCGCTGGCGCTTATCGGTGAGCACTGGCACCGAGTGGAGGGTTGAGCTGGTCTTGGGAGGACAGACAGGCTTTGAGTGCATACAGCAAGACAGATGCAGACTCCAGGTGAGAGAAGTAAGATCTCTATGAAAAACCTTAACGAGAAACAAGCCCCCAGCCCTGGAGCCTTATTGAAAAGCTGGACAGTGGCGGCTGTGGATGAGGGTGGGAAGGACCACCTCAGGCCTGCCCCACTCGGGGGAAGATCATAGGAATCTCTGAGGCTGTTCGTGGCTTCTGTGAACACGAGAAGCTTTTGGTTTAAGGGATGTGCAGGATTTGCAACTTGTCTCTGTGCTATCCTAAAGACGAGACGGACGGTCTCCCTGTCCTCCCATCCATCGATCCGTCTTAATTTCCTATTGTTGCTATAACAAATTACCACAAACTTCTCACCATTTTGGAGGTCAGAAGTCTGGCATCCGTCTCAGGCTAACACCAGGATGTCAGCAAGGCTGTGTCACTCCCAGAGGCTCTGGGGAGAACCTCTTTCCTGCCTTTGCCAGATGCTAGAGGTGCCTGCATTCTAGAGAGTAACCCCTTTCCCCATCATCAAGTCCAGTGGCCTCCTGTCTTTAAATCCTGCCTGTCTGCTTGACCTCTCCTTCTTGATTCCATCCCCTCCGACTTTGACCTGCCTCCTTCCTCCAAGGCCACGTGCGATCACAGCGGCCCCCACCCGGATCATCCAGGATCAGCTCCTCCTTTTAAGGTCCTTAGCTTAATCATATCTGCCAAGGCCTCTTTGCCACGTAAGGTGGGGGCATTCGGGAGGTGCGTGTGAGGGTTAGGGCGTGGCCAGCTCCCAGGGCCACTGCCGGGGCCCCACGCAGCCTTTGTTTGGTGGGACTTTCGCTGTCTTCTCCCATCATGCTAGCTTGTTTCCGTGAAAACATCTGGCCCGTCTGTCTGATGGCCTTTTACCGTCAGGCCTCATTTGTTTAGGTAATTGGTAATGTCAGTGGTGGAGCCCCCTCGTGCCCCAGAACTCTTGCTTCATGAAGGTTTCATATGAGGTTTGCCGGCTCTTGTCACTGCTGGGCCGAGCCCGCTAAGCTCTGGGTCAGGAGAATGTTACACGTCGCAGCAGGGCTTTGTTCTGTTCTCTTTTTAAATTTTACTTATTTTATTATCTCTACACCCAGCATAGGGCGTGAGCGTGTGACCGGGAGATCAAGAGTCGCCCGTTCTACTGACGGAGCCAGCCAGGCGCCCCCATAGCCGTCCTCTGAAGACGACACTTTGCCCCTTGGAGTTTTGACTGTAATTATCCCATGACACTTTGGTGTTTGCACTGTTACCTTTAGGGTTTGTTTTAGGACCCTCTGGGAGCAATTTTAGGTTTACCTTAAAACAGAGAGAAAGGTACAGAGATGGCCCGCATACCCCTGATCCCACACACGCGGAGCATCCCCCACTGTCGAGGCCACTCACCAGAATGTGCCTTTTTTTTTTTTTTTTAAGTCAGGGAGGAACCTGCACGGACATGTCACCATCACCTGAAGTTCGTAGTTTACCTGGATGCCCTTCACGTGTTCGATGGGTCAGCGCTGATGAGTGTTGCCCTGTAGACGTGGAAAGTGCCTCAGACGATAGGGAATTGCTCTTTTCCTATTTGGGGGACAGCTCTCTTTTCCTCCACCTGTTTTTCTCCTACCTGGTTCACTGATGACTGAGTTTTCCGTAGCGGCAGGAAAACAAAGCCTTAGAACTTCTACAGGCAGATTGGGTGGGGGCCGGGATTTTACTGTGGTGCAGTGCTGCTTTCTAAATAATGGGCTTCCCTACATTTTAGCCTAGTGCCTGTCTGCTGAGAAGTGGCCTAGTCAAACCCTCATAGCAGGGTAAATGCAGCTAGGTATCTTGGTAGGGTTCTGGGCTTAAATGCGTAATGAACTCCTTTAACCTGGATTTCTGTGAGATTTCCTGGATATTAATGGCTTTGGGGGAAGTCTTGATTTCTTCTTTCATTAGGAAGACATTATTTTCCATCATGTACTCAAGGGTGGGGAGAGGACTGAGAGGATGTCTGGAATGTCTACGTCCTGTCATTTTCCATTTACGCTCCATCAGGTTGTGAACAAATGTAGGAGAAGGTCTGGTCTGTCTGAGAAGCAGCACGAGTCTTCACAAAGCCATGTGGTCTCTGTTCAGCCTTGCCTTGTCCCCTTCTGGAAGGAAGAGGGTCCCAGACCCCTCACTTCCTGCCTGCATCCGCACAGCCGCCCCTCCCTGCTGCCAGCCACCTTTTACGACAAACCCGATTGGCTCCCTGCTTTGGCAAAAGGGACTTAACTCAGAGAGTCAGTCCACACGCTTCTGTTTGGCACAAAGACCTTTCACAATCTGGCCTTCCCTTCCAGCTGCCTTGGCACCCTTGGGTGCACTTCCTGTGCTGGGAGCCTGTTGAATTTGTCACTGTTTCCTGGCAGGCTGGTCCTTTTGTAGTGCTGTGCCCTTGGCCCCTCTCTGCTCAGGAGGGTCTGGAAGCCCAGCAGTGCCCTCGCCACTGTGCCCTGAGTCGCGCTGTTTATCTTGGTGAATTCTGCCTACACAGGTTATTGTTTGTAAGTAAATGGGGTGTTTGAATATGTCAATCTTCTGTGAGTTTGGTGGCTGTGAGTCAGGTCTCCATCTTGAGCCATGTCTGGGGAGTGAGGAGATGGCATGCTGTCCCCCAAGGCTGTAGACCTGGCCTAGAACACTGGCAGTCCTCGGGTTCTCCGTGATGGAAAACAGAGGTAGCCGTGACAGTCTGTTTAAGGTGCTTGCCTGCGGTGGAACTGCGATGTTGAAGATCGTCCTGGTCCCCCTGTGACAGGACGGCTGGAGGGGAGTGTGACTGGCAGAGCCAGGAAGCCAGGCCCCGCCAGGTCCAAGGCCCTTGAGACCGCTGTTCTCCATGTTTCTGAAGTGGGTGCACCTTTCTGTTGCACCTGAGTAGGGGGTCGCTGGCGGGTTTTGCACATGGGGTTTTCTTTCTGTAGGGGGGGGTTTGGTGGTCCCCTTGCCAGCTGGCGAATGAGAAAGTGCGCAGGCTAAGAGCTGAGCTAGAGTCCCGTAGTGTGGCTTCATGTTGTGGTCGCCTTGCCGTGGGCTACCTGTGGTGGAAGGGGCTGGAAGCACAGGGAGGAGTAAGGTTTGGCCTCAGCCCTGGAGCAGCTCAGCGTGCTGGGGGGGCTTCAGAAACAGAGTGTAGAAGGCAGCGTCCAGGGTGGGAAGAAGGGGCCAGAGGTTCCTTTCCTCTGTGCATTCTGAAAGTGCTAGAAGGGGCTGCTGCACATGCCGAGGGACATGTCTTCCCGCCACCTCTGCCAGCTGATGAGACAGCGCGGGATGCCTGGGCTCCCTCGGCCAGCCGGAATCCAGCATTGTGGGGCCGCAGCCCTGTGGGAGCCCAGGGGCCCTGCAGGCAGAACCGTGGAGGGCGGCTGGCCGAGAGAGCCGTGAGGCGGACCGGCCCCCCGGAGTGAGGATGGCCTGGGCTGCTCCCCCTCCCCGCCCCACCTGCTCCGGGCTTTGTGTCCCGAGCTCCCAGTGTCTGTGCAGAGCGCCACCTCTCTCCCAGCTGCTGGAACTGGTTTCTTTCCGTTTGGTGAGCTGTTCCTTAAGAGAAGGTGCGGGAAAAGCGGGCGCGTTCCAGCGGACGCTTCTTCAGACGCCGTCGGTGTCTTCCTTTTTCTGCTGTGAGGAGGGGCTTTGCCGTCTGCACAGGGGATTCATGGCATAAGAATTTGTGTTTCCTTAATTTTGAAAAACTTTGGGTTATGTTTGTATCAAGCTTTGTCAGCTGAGGCGTGAGGGCGAAAGAAAGGACTTTGTTTCATGTCGGCGTTTGCTCACAGGTTGGCCTGAAGACGCCGGCTTCCTCCTGAACACCGAGAACCGGCAGAGGGAAGGTCAGAGAAAACCAAGGTGGGTCAGGACCCCAGCAGAAGAATCAGGAATCTTCTGTGTGTCAGGTCCCTTTTGATTGTTTTTCCTTCCAAATGTTCAGACTCTTGGAAAAAATTGTGTTTGAGGGGGAAGAAGTGCCCCTTCCACAGCTTCCCATCAGCATGAGGCCGGGCCGCGAGCCGTGTCTGACCTGCTCCTGTTTAGTGAGAACCTTGTTGTAGACCCTGCAGTTACCTTCCCCACAAGTACGGCTTTGCTGGCAGCCCCGTAGATCTTCATACACGGGGTGTAAATTTTCATTGAAAACGGCATTTCAGTAGCTTAGATATACACCCGTAATTTTTTTTTTAAAGATTTATTTATTTATTTATTTATTTATTAGAGAGAGAGAGAGTAGGAGCAGGGAGGAGAGGCAGAGGGAGAAGCAGGCTCCCCACTGAGCAGGAGCCGGCGCAGGACTCGATCCCAGGACCCGGAGATCACGACCTGAGCCGAAGGCAGAGGCTTAACCGACTGAGCCACCCAGGTGCCCCCACCCACCTGTTATTAGGAGAACAGATTCAATATTCTAAGAATCCAGATTTTTTTGTTGTGGTTTTGTTATTCTTAATTTTATTACACTGTATTGGAAAAGGACTAGTACCCACAGATGCTATATTTTTTTGCTTTTACTTTCCTTGTGGCCTCATATTAGATTAGTTACAGCAGAAGGCACGTGCACACTTCAAAGGAATTATTTCAGGAACTCCCCAAAGTGAAGGTTTAACATGGGATTTCGTTTTTATGTCCTTTCTTGGAAGAAATTACTGTTTTGGTCATTTGTTTGGAGGCTGCTGCCATTGCAGACACGTTGGGAGCATGCCAGGTCAAGGGCATGCCCAGGCCGCCGGCTCCCTCCGCAGGGACTTGGCTGTGTGCTGAGCTGCAGAGCAAGGGCCCTTGAGAAGGGTCACACGACACTCCTCCTCCTCTCTAGTGGCTGGAAGCTTGGAGGGGCATTCCTGTCCCGCAGGAAGAGAATGGACGTATTTGAGACATGATGCTAACTGGGAATGTATTTCCGGGGGTCTGGGAGCAGCCCTCCCGGTGTTGTTGCCTTCTCTAGGGCAGACTGATCAGGACAAGAAGGGCCTCTTCAGCCCACACTCCGTTGATGCTGATAACTTCAGACCTCAGAAAATCTTAGCCAGTGTGGTCCTTGAAGACAAATTACCCCAAAGGAGCATTTAATTGTTGTTATATTATGACATATTTGGCTTGCGGCGTTCATAAAGTTTACAGTGTTTTCTTTTCCTGATCAGTCTTGGCATTCTTGTGGGGGGTACGTCTCTGTGAGCAGAACAGACAGGAACTGAGATGGCCCAACTTCCGTTATTTTCTCTGCCATTTGGGGAAAACATTTCTTTAAAGTCATGTGACGTCAACTCAGTTAGTAATATGGTAGCTGTGTGCCCCTTCCGGCTTGAGCAGTTGTGTCCTTGTTGTGGGGCGTTTGGGAATCCTACTGCCTGCTCCTGTCTCCAGTTTTCTGTCCTGATTCCATGTGTCCTTTCTTGGTTTGTAATTTGGATTACACTTTGATGTATATATTCCTGTGTGTATATATATACATTCACATACCCCTCTCTGTGGTCAACAGGTTTTCCATTGTCTTAGGCCTTTTATCGCAGGACGCTGCTGCTCTCAGAATGTGTTCCATTTCAGTGGCTGGTTGGTTTTCTCCTGCTTTGTGCATTTTCACTCTGCAGAACGTCTTCCGGCCTGCATCGCACTTCTGCGGCGCCTTCCCTCATTCTTCCTTCAGCTTAGGCCTATTTTTACTGCTATCGTTGGGAATTCTCTTAGTTTCACGATTTTTTTTTTTCTGTTTCAAGGGGACTTTGAAGAGAGGCCATTCCCAGAAGTGTTACATATATATTTTGGATTAAAGTCAACTTTTCCTTCATGTAATAAATAAATCTTTGAGTTCGTGCGTATCAGAGCTCCCCATAATGTAATTGCAGGCTCTTGTGATCCCTTCGCTATCTCGTCCCTCGCGGACAGCACGCAGCTGGATCCCGCCTCAGTGGTTCCCAGGTCTGGGCTAGGACCCAAGTTCATGAGCTGTGGTGGCACCAGGCCTTTGCCTCTGCAGGGTTGTCTCCCACCACAGGGACACATAAAGCCATTCATATGGCATTTAAAATAGTTTCGTTAAGTGTCCTTCTGTTCTCCTGGGCACAGTTTAACTCATACTTGGATCCTTTGCATCAGTCATGGTCCATGGAACGTAGTAGGCGCTTTGTAAATGTTTGCCGTGTGGGTCCGTACAGGAGTCGTACGGGACTCTTTCCTTAGCTGTAAGGCGCAGGGCAGAGATGGGGTGCCTGTGACAGCAGTAAGACGGAGGAGTGCTCGCTTTCTTGTTGTTTCAGAAAACCCATTCCTCGGGGTGCTTGGGTGGCTAAGTCGATGAAGCGTCTGCCTTCAGCTCAGGTCACGATCCCCGGGTCCTGGAATCGAGCCCCGCATCGGGCTCCCTGCTCAGCCGGGGAGTCTGCTTCTCCCTCTCCCACTCCTCATGCTTGTGTTCCCTCTCTCGCTGTGTCTCCATCAAAGAAATAAATAAAATCTCTAAAAAAAAAAAAAGAAAAAAGCAATTCCTCAAACTTGGGGAGTATTTCTTTGTAAATCAACGTTTATGCATATTACGTATACATAATATGATTTATGTGAAAGTTCACTACAGGTTAGTTTTACCTCAAACGGACTGTGAGCTCCTTTTGGCCAAGGCGCCGTCCTCGTGCTGCTGCTCCTCCGGCTTTGTCTCCGCGTGGGCGGGCGGCCCTCCGCGGGCTGATGATGGAGGAGCAGACACGTAAACACACCTCAGAGCTGTTACAGGAATTGGAAGTCTGTGCCTGTCACTGCCGGGCGAGGAGCTTTTTTAGGGCACAGAGCATATTGCGTTTATCTCTGTGTCTACAACATGCCCCACGGTGCCTGGATATTTGTAGGAATCTCAGAGCTCTCGGTAGTTACACGTTGACTAATCTCCTTGGAAGGAAAGGACTTCCGGAGCTGCAGATGGTCATGAGACTATACATTGAGCGGGTCCCTGGGGTACGTGCATTTGAACGCTACCGTTAATCGAGTGCCTCACTGATAAGCTCTGACGTCCTTGGATGTCTGTCTTCATTCCGACTTTATTCTTCATTGTGTTCCTTTGACACAATTAAGCAAAGAACACCTCTCTCTTTCCCCTTCCCTGCAGGCCGCCATGGCTGCCGTTGACAGCTTCTACCTCTTGTATAGGGAGATCGCCAGGTCCTGCAATTGCTACATGGAAGCTCTGGCCTTGGTCGGAGCCTGGTACACAGCTAGGAAAAGCATCACGGTCATCTGTGATTTCTACAGTCTGGTCAGACTGCATTTCATCCCGCGCCTGGTGAGCAGAGCAGATCTGATCAAGCAGTACGGAAGATGGGCAGTCGTGAGTGGTAAGAAAGGAGATGCGGTCCTGGCCCGCTTTCAGAACACAGTCATCTCTCCTGTTGAGGCTGCGTTCTCAATGGGGTGCCTTATTCGAGGAGTCACTGAATTCACCGTGATGTGTTCTTGGGAACACAGCTCTGTTGTGATGCCGGTCACCGTTTCTTAGCGCCCTCCTCTTAGAACGATGTTTGTCTTTCTTGCTCTGTCCTCCTGTTCCCGGTCCTGCCTCAGCCCACCTTCGCTCCCTTTTGAGATTGTCCTTAGAAATTGTCACTGTCCATTCCCTTGTTTTAAATTTCATTTTGATTTGTCATTATTTCCCAGGAAGGTACCTCCCTAACACTCATGTAAGCCAGATACAAGTTTGAAAACCATTTCCTGCTGTGTCTCCCACCCAGCTCGGTGAACGTGAAGCTCCCTTCCCCTGCTTGTCAGGGTGTCTGCGAGAGTGTTTGACTAAAGGTGTCAGTCATACTTGGATGCGACACTGTACCCGACACAGTGATCAGTGTGAGAACTGGGTTTATTTCTAGTGTGACCCCTTCTCAGCTGAAACCCAGAAACAGGAGATTTAAGGTTTGCTCTGAAGGTCCCACCGTGAGATGAGCCCGCTCACCTTCCCTGGCCTGTATCGCAGGTGCGACCGATGGGATCGGAAGAGCCTATGCAGAGGAACTGGCAAGCCGTGGCCTCAATATCATCTTGATCAGCCGCAGCCAAGACAAGCTGCAGACGGTAGCGAAAGACATAGCCGACACCTACAAAGTGGAAACCGAGGTCATAGTTGCGGACTTCAGTAGTGGCCGCGAGATCTACGACCCGATTCGAGAAGCTCTGAAAGACAAAGACATTGGCATCTTGGTGAATAACGTAGGCGTGTTTTATCCCTACCCCCAGTATTTTACTCAGGTCTCCGAGGACAAACTCTGGGACATCATCAATGTAAACATTGCTGCGGCTAGTTTGATGGTCCATATAGTGTTACCAGGGATGGTGGAGAGAAAGAAGGGTGCTGTTGTCACCATCTCTTCCGGCTCCTGCTGCAAGCCGACGCCCCAGCTGGCTGCATATTCTGCTTCTAAGGTAATGTATTCCCGATTGGAAGCGAAGTCATAAAGCAGGAGGACATTGCTTATGTGGTTCGGTCCAGTTTGCGGAGCTCTTTGTGTCCAGCTCATGTCTATTTCTGCTGTACTTTTACCTGACATGGTAATAAGCAAGGCTGTTTTCTTCCGAATTTTCTGTTTTCTTCCGAATTTTCTTCCAAGTCCCTCCCCACCCCCAGCCCCCATCCCTTAAATCTTTACCCCTGCTCTGTCTCAACAGGCTTATTTAGACCACTTCAGCAGAGCCCTGCAGTATGAGTACGCTTCTAAAGGCATCTTTGTACAGAGTCTCATCCCGTTCTACGTGGCAACCAACGTGACCGCACCTGGCAGCTTTCTGCACAAGTGCCCGTGGCTGGTGCCTTCGCCCAAAGTGTACGCGCACCATGCCGTTTCTACCCTTGGCATCTCGAAAAGGACCACAGGATACTGGTCCCATTCTATCCAGGTAACAGGATGTGCTCAACTCTTACAATTAGGTTAATGCAGCCTCAGCCTTTCGGAATGATACGTGGCAATCCGATTGGAGCCTGCTGCTGAAATGGGGGAATTGCACATTCTGATTCTTAAACCTGACACTCATAGTGGTTCTGGTGAAGTCCCTGAAATTCTCCGTGCTGCTCTTACTGATAGTTTGATTTGTGTGGTCCCATAGAGATGGAAGAATGCTGCTTTACTCTAGGAAGTGGCAGGAGTGTATATTACTCAGGATTCATGGGGGCTCTTTGCATAAAGATTATTAAATTTGCCATCCATAGATAAGAAAAGCAGCAGTTAGTTTTTCCTTTTATCGAAAGATTTGGCTGAAAGTTTCTTTAGTAAGAAGGAGCTTGATTTATTCACTCCTCTGTTAATGTTTAGCCCATAAGGAGTTCGCTGGAGGAAGTTTGATGTGCCAGACACACCATGTAAAGAAATGTCTGTGCTCATCCTGATCAGTCGTCCATGTTAGGGCCTGAGTGAAGAGGGCAGGCGGGCCTGTGTTGGCTCTAGGATCTGGAAAATGCTCAGTGTCTTGGATGAAGGCAGTTTTGGGAGCCCTTCAGGGAGCTGTGGACTGCAGTGGGCAGGTGAGTGGGGGGAGGGCTACGGAAACCGCATGCTCCGCAAATAAGGCTGTGGGGTGCGGCAGGCAGGTGGACTGGGATGGAGGAAGCAGGTGTATTTGTTAATCCGTTTACAGCAGCAGAGACGTGGCTGGGAGCAAGTGCTGGCGGGAGGGGGATGTGCAGGGGAATGGCCTGAAGATAGGGGAGAGAAGGTGTGCTTCCCGGCAGCGCGGGCAGGACCCAGAGCACAGTGGAGGGGGCGACAGGGAAGCCACAGTGGTGAGCAGGGGCTGTCATCTGCTGACTCCCGGGAGGTGGGGTCTTGCGAAGCGAGGAGGTTTGAAGTGAGAGTGTCGGGGGGGTGGAGAGCGGGGCACTGCTCCTGTGCCAGTGACCCTTTCGGGAGCCCCTGCCGGGATGGGCTCTAGACTGGTTTCACAGCCTTTTACTGATGTGGATCGGTGCTCAATCTGTGTCAGTGGTTCTTTATGATGAGCTTGCTCAGAGGTCAGGGGGAGGAGTCCTCACTCCTTCCTGGGCCCCAGCCCTTAACGGATGTCTGCACAACCCTGTTCCCACGCAGGAGCTGTATGAGTTGGCCTTTTGTACTTTCTTGGGATTCATGGAGTTAGACAATGGCATCTTCTCTGTGTTATGTGAGTTGTCTTAACGATTTGTGAGCAGAAAACAGAAAAAAATGCTTTGGACTTAAAGCAACTATAAAGCAGTTGGATGTCTTGGCTTTAATTGTTAACCAGTTATCAGTGTTGTTTTGGGAGCCTTCCCGTTTTCAGAATTGCATGAGGCCGAGTTTTCAGCTTTGGAACACAGAGTAAGGCTGACAGAAAAGCCTGTGGCCTTCTGTTTGGGTTACTTGACGTGGAGGCCAGAAACACGTGCGTATGTGTTAGGTTGATAAGCCATTAACTTGACAGCTTGACCAGTCTTGCTTATAACTCCGAGGGCTGTGTTCCTGGTGTAGGAAGACAGAGAAAGCCACAGGGATTGGCACGAGGGTTGGGGGCAGCTGAACTCTGGACTGGCCTGCAGTCTGCTCTGAATTCCTACCCACTTTAGGCATATCTGTTCCCACATAGTGTGTCTGTGTTGCTCTTGGAGAAAGACGATGTGGCATTTAGAGGAGAGGGGAGCTACTTGGCCTTGAAAAGGCCCTGGGGATGCAGGCCCAGGAGAGGCAGGCCAGCAGCTGAGGTCCAGGCCCTCCTGCACAGCCCAGGTTCCCATGCCGGCGGCCAGCCAGGAAGGGAGCCTCAAACCACATACTGGCACTGTAGCTTTGTCTCTACCTTTGGAATAACTCTGGTTTGAGGATCCAGCCCAAGTTCTTGGGGATCTTTTCCTTCCTTCCCATCCCCATTTCTTACCTAGGTCCTTCCTTCCCATCCCAGTCTCTGGGAGACATTAAAGCATTGGCATTTTCATTGCCAATGCAGATTTCCATCCAGTTGTCTGTGTGTATTGGCCATTGACGTCCTCCTCTTCTGGCTCTGGGTCCCCACAGGGGCTGTCAGTTACTGTTGGCTTTTGTCGCAGGGGAGGACAGCTCCTTTCTTTGGCCTGGACTGGTGAGTCAGGTCTCTGAACATGCACAGAGCCTTCCAGAGCCAAAGACCCAGCCCTCCCTCTGCTCTCCGCTCTCACTCACTCCCCCTCTAAACAAGTGGATGAGTCAGCCCTTTAGTTTCTAATCTGTCAGTACACAGAGGATGTAGTTCTCTCCTTTTCCATTAGCTCTTTCCATCCTGCTCCCTGGGGTGCTGAGACCCCATTAGAATCAGCCAGAAGTGGTGTGCCAGCAGCGGTTCCAGGCGTAGCCCTGTAGGAACCTGGCAGGGTGTGTCCTGCTGCTGGTCCCCCGTGACAGACAGTGGCCATGTTGAGCGGAAATTAAGAACAAACAGATTTCTGGTTGTTGATACCTTCTCCACTAAATGCTGAAAAAAATGCGTGGTAGTCTCCCCTTATCAGTGCGGATATGTTCCATGGCACCCAGTGGCCGCCTGGAGCCGTAGGTAGTGTTGGACCCTATAAGGACTGCTTTTCCCTGTTCGGGCAGACCTGTGGTAAAGTCTACTTTATCAGTGAGGCACAGTGAGAGGTTAACACCGATTCCTGGTAATAAGATAGAGCAGTCATAATGGTGTCCTGTAATCAAAGCTACGTGAATGTGGTCTCTCTGGAAATACGTGTACAGTATGTGGCCTTCTTGTTGAGGTGAACGTGAGATGATCAGATGCCTGCGTGAGGACAGGGAGTAAGGGGACGTCGCGTTAGGCGGCTGTTGACAGGGTGCCGGGTCAGGAGGATCATCTGCTTCTGGACCACAGTTGACCTTGGCCGTGGGTAACTGAAACTGTGGAAAGCAAAACCAGGACAGTGGGGGCACCGGTGTACTCAGAAGAGGCGGTCCAGCTCTGCAATCTGTCCCAGGTGCCTGTGTGTTTGAGTACGTCCCTACTTCAGGGTGCTCCTACGCGACCCAGAGCTGACTTCTTTTATCTCCTTACACTTAGAATCTTTCGCTTTAAAACAGCAGCTCCAAGGAAGGTACCCCAGTATTTTCCTCACAAAATCCTGGCTCTTTAACGAGGTCCAGAGAGATGTAGTCATGTCCCCAGAATGTTTCCCGTGGCTCCTGGCCAGATACAGATACAGGGCTCCTGTCTCCGAGGAGGTCAGCCGGAGCTTCTCTGGAACCTGCGGTGGCCGGCTGCAGCTGTCCCTGATCCTGGGACCTTGTCCAGTTCAGTGTGGCTTCCCTGGGTCTGGGGTGACCTCTGTTATTTTATTTCTGTTCAAGGCTAGCATTTTAGCACTTGCCAGTGGCCTGTTCATCTTCCTTCTTTCCTTTTTTTTTTTTTTTAAGTAAGCTCTATGCGCATCGTGGGGCTTGAACTCACAACCCCAAGATCCAGTGTTGCACACTGTAGCGGCTGAGTCAGGCCTCCCATTCATCTCCCTTCCTTCCCACGCAAGTAGAGCTCGAGCTCAGCTCCGTCTTGGACAGACCCGTCAGCACAGCGCAGGGCTTGCCCCCATCGGCGCGGTTGGCCTTTGGTATCTGATAATCCCTCGTGAGGAGGCTCTCCTGAGCACTCTAGAATGTTCAGCAGCGTTCCCGACCTCTGCCCACTGGATGCCAGTAGCAGCAGCATCCACGTGTGATAACCAGGAGCGTCTCTGGACGTTGCCATGTGTTCCCCTGGGGGCGGGGGTGGGGGAAGGGCCCTGGCACAGAAGCCTCGGAGTGGAGCTCGGTCAGCAGGACCGCCTCCCTGCGTGCCCAGGCCATCCACCTCACGTCTCAGGACCGCAGCCCAGCATCCCAGCGTTTTTGATTTCTTTTTGTCACACCGTTTTTGACTAATTTCAGCCCAGTGTGCCCCTCGCAGCCCAGTTTTCTCACAGTGTACTGATCACGGATGCGTTGATCCATTTCACCTGCCTTTTATTCCCGGAGTGGTTTTTGTCATTCTTAACCAAGTGGATATGTTACTGGTACCTGCTTAAGTAAGGATGGGATTGTAGTGCTGTGCCTGAGTTTGTCCCCCTCATTGGAGAGGGGTGGGCGGGCGGCGGTCCTGTTTCTTGTACTTCCATGGATTCTAGCATGGGTTCTTAGGCCAAAGTAGGTGCTTGGTATAAGAGCACCTGAGGACTTTTTCTTTTTTCTTTTTTTTGTATTTAATTTGGTGGTATTTATTGTATTGAGTCATATATTGACACTTAAAGTCTGTGCTTTGGGTTCTAACCTTCTAACCTTTTTCTCTTTCATTTTTAGTTTCTTTTTGCACAGTATATGCCTGAATGGCTCTGGGTGTGGGGAGCAAATGTTCTCAATCGTTCTTTACGTAAGGAGGCCTTATCCTGCAAAGCGTGAAACTGCCTGATGGTTTGGGAAGTTTCGCCACCTCCTGGGAGCCTGCAGTATTCTGATGTTTGGAAGAACACACTTAATTTATCTTCAGTATTTTCTTCTATCACTGGTTATGTAGCATACTGTTGACTCATCATTTGCAAAGCACACATAATACTTTTAGAGAATGCTGTGGGAAAACCACGAGGGCCACATCACGTGGATGGCACAGGGCACACAGTGACCGAGGCACAAGAACGTTATCGAGGGAACCTAAATTGTGATGCTTTTTTTTTTTCCTCTACACTCTGTCCAAGCTGTGTGATTTATGTTGTTCTAGGAGCTACAGCAATCTGTTACTGAAATATATAGGACTTGTTAGCTCTCGAACTTTCAAATGTTGTTTATGGGAAATTATTTCTGTAGATGAATTCCAGTATTGTTTTTTGAATGTTCATCAGGAAAGAATATTTAAAAGTGTTATTTTATAAGTAAGATCACTAATTAGCAGTAATTAGCAGTAGAAATCCACGTGTGTCCTATTGTATAGCTCTGTTTGACTCTGTGTATGAAAATGCTGCTCTTCAAGCGATATTCCACTAGAGAACTGTGTGTGTGTGTATGTTCTGTACATCTGGGCAAGTTCATTTATGGGGCAGTTACTGTAAAAAAGATGTCTTGCTAAGGTGGCTTAATGTGAAACCTTACGGAGTCTTGAAATTCTACTTATTCCTCTTCATACTAAACATGCCTATCTGATTTTGGGCTGTAAGTTTGCCGTGTGTAATATTATACATTCTGTTGGTTGTTTTTTTTTAATCTCCTGTGGAATTAATTCATCCTTAGAATCGAACCTACGATGGTCGACCCTTAGTCATCTCTTGATTTATAATCGTTGTGGTTAAGTGGTGATTTCTCAGCCTGTGACCCATTTTATAACTGAAATTTAGCCCTTCAGAGCTTGTTATATCTGGTTTTCATACACTTTTCTATGTAATATTCTCTTATAGTAGCGTTATGGGAGTAAACATCAGTTACTTAGGGAATAGTGGTTAAAATATGGACTAATGATGTGTGTGATATGATGTATGTGTTAAAATAAGTTAGAAACTCATTCTTGGTTTGTGTAACAAATCTACGCATTACAGTGAACGCTTTTGTTGGTGTGAAGATCATTGTGTGCAACCCCCCCACGATAGGGGTTAGCTTTGACACCTACTGTGAAATAAATGTTTTTGGCTCAGACCTCACAAAGCCAGACATTTTTGGGGACCGCTCTCTAGTGCTTCAGCAATGATAAATCACCATATGATTGTGACACTGTGTGCAAGTTAAGAATTTGGAGCTTATTACTGTGACACTGATGCAGAAACTAGTAAATTGGCTGAAATCAGGAATTGTTGGAATTGTCTTCTTCTGAGTATAGTATTCCATTAGGAGTTAGACCTGGGCATGCCTTTATGGCACACCCACGATTTTGCCACTGCCATTGCCTCAGTATTTCCTGATCTCACTTGGGACTCAGAAGCTCAGTGGTTGAGTTCAGAAGCTCTTCCATGTATAGACCAGGCCCTCATTACACAAAAGAAGACCTTTCAGATGTGAAAACTTGCTAGCAGTGTTATGCAGCACAGAAGGTGTTGATGGAGTCTGCTTGGAGGCCTGCCTTTTGTCACATTCAGCAATTTTCCCTCCCCTAATAGTCAACCTATGGTCATTAAGACTAGAGAAAATTTGACTTCCTGCCACATCGACCTGAATTGTAATTGACATGTAGTAAGCAGCTGCAGCTGTACATGTAGAAGCACCGTGTTTTCCCCCCAGGAGTTACGGGGCTCAGCCATGTCTTCTATTTATAAGTGATGTAGGGAGTCACTGCCCATGATGAGAATAAGTAAATCATGTTGGTGATGTTTGCAAATTCTCTGCTTGGCAGGACATGTGCAAAAGCTGTTGGGTGCAAAGCTAGTGAAAGATCAAAAGCAAGAATCTTCCTTAGGTTTCCTCTGATAATACACCTTTTCCCAGAACCCATTTGAGAATCATCATTGGGCCACTGGACACGGGGTTTCTTACTAAGAATATGGGAAATTAAGAACCTTTAAAACAATCTGCGAACTGAAAATTTAACAGTAAAAACTGCTGCTTCTGCTTCCTGCGGAAGAGGTTTTGTTCCATGTGTCTGTATTTGGGATGAGAGAGATTTTTTTCCCCATAGAAACAATTACTTTAAAATTACTGAAAAATTAATCTATGAACACCCGCGGTAGTAATTCATTAAAAGCTTGTAATTCAGCAAGAAACTTGTGCACAACCATGTGTCTGTTAAGTCTTTCGAAACGACTAACTAGATTTCTTGATCTCATTCCCCTGATAGGTTGAGTAGATGAAAGTAGATTTTGATCATTGACTTCAGCACCCTGTACATCGCTGCTGGTGTTCCATGAGCCATTTTACCTCATGGTGGGGATGAAAGGTTGATTGTGGTGGAAAGGGTGGAGTGGAAAGGGAGTCAGCAAAGAGAGAGCTCTTTGGAGGAGTCTTTCTGTTTTAATCTCCATTACTCAGAATCTTACCGCATTTCGCAACCAGGGGGTTTGGGTGGTGTCATCAGTCTGGACACCGTGTGCCCTCTTCAACCAAGTCCAGTCTGTCTGTGTGTCTGGCTCACTACTGGCTCAGCTGTTATTCTTTCAAATAGTACTTAGTTTGAATAAAGGTTTACCTTCCCATGGAATTTGCAAATTCTTTATTATACACATAAAGCATACAGTGATTTCAGAACCTGGAGTGGTGGAAGACCGACAGACCAGGATCCTGTGGCTCTCATCCTTTCTTTGGATTTCCAAACCCCCGTTGCTCATCCCACCCCCCTTCAGTTTATAGGTCCTGGGGGCTGGCCGCAGTGTGCTTTTCCCTGCTTCGGGGCTTCACTATCCCAATGCAAGGGTGTTTGCAGCTCACTAGCCTACGTCAGTCCGTGACAGTTGGGTTGTGTATTCAGTGGCATAGTGACTTCAAGGCCTGTTAAAAGAACCGTGGCTTAGACCAATTTACCCCACATTAGAACACCACAGTTAAGTTTAAGATCCAAGTGTATTACATGGTGGCAGCAGGCACTGCTTAATTTCGAGGATTTACCATGCCAGAGAGACCAGAATTCTCCGAAGTCCCCAACATCGGCGCGATCTCAGAATGGGGAGAACTTCATCAGGTGCGGACGGGTCTATATGTACCGAACACCTGTTTCCTTAAACCCTCACCCTGGGAGTGGGTGCGAATACCGCTTTCGGGTAGGGCAGGTGAGGTAGAAGAGCCGCGCTGCGACTTGCCCGAGATGAAAGCCAGTGAGTGACGGGGTGCTAACCCAGTGTGGAAGCCGGTCTGGTTAGAGAACGACCCAGGAAACACCGCGTCCCCCGCGCTGCTGTCAGGCCGGCGCCCCTCTGCGTTACCGCGGGGCTGCGGGGAGTTCGGTGTTACCCGGCCGTGCAGCACATCACCTTCCAACAGCACGACCAAAACCACGCTTCCCGCCCCCCACCCGTGCCCAGCGCCAAGCGCGGCCCCTCCGACACGTGGGCGGAGAAGGGCCTGCGATCCGTCTGGGGGAGGCCAGCGTTTCCGAGTCGAACGCACCGAGCCTCGTTTCGTTCACTAGGGCAGCCGCCGGGCATCAGGGTCCCGGCCACGCGCGGAGTGGGGCGGAGCAAGCGCGGTTGCGGCGGGGGTTTCGCCTTACAGCGCGGGTCCCAAGGCCGGAGCCGGCCGCGTCGGGCAAATGGGCAGAGGCCTGCAGAGGGCCATGCCTGGGGGGGTGCCGTGCCGCCCGAGCCCGACCCCGGCCCCCGTCGGGCCCCAGGGACAGGACGCTACGCTCGGAGCTTTCGGGAGTTTACGGCAAACGCTGGCGGCTCCGCCAGGACCTTCATCCGTGGGCCCGGGCCGCGCGCGGCCGCTTTCTGGCCCAAAGCCCAGGGCCTACCCCGCGCCTCCCACCAGCACCGCCACGGACCTGGGCGGAAGGCTCGCCACACCCCCTTTCCCCCTCCTGCCCCGCCCCGTCCCGGGCCGCAAGTGTCGCGAGACCTTCGTCCGTCAGCCAGCCTCGGGCCCGGCGGCCAGAGCGCGCACGCAGGCCGGCGCCGGGCACGCAGGGGACGCACGGCCGGCGGGGCTGGCGCTCCTGGCGCTCTCCGCCGTCTGTCTCCCCGCCCCGGTCGCGCAGTTTCGCGAGACTTGGGAGTAAACAGCCCCGAATGGAGACGCGAGGTGTGTTCGCCGCGGAGGCGCCGTTATCCCGGGGCCGCCGGACCCGAGCCTGAGGCGGCCGCAGGTAGGTTCGGTGGCGGCTCGCCGCCCGGAGCGCCGCTCCCCGACCCGCCGGCCTGTGCAGCCGCCCGCGCGCCCGAGGTCGGGGGCGTGCGCCGGCGGCGGCCGGGGCCTCCCTGCGTCCCTGGACCCTACGGGAGCCGCACCGGAGCGCGGGGCGGGGTCGGGACGTTTTCCCGCACCCGAGACAGCCGGTGCGGGGCCCTGTCTCCGGGCTCTCGCGGGGTTTTAGCTTGCTCAGCCTCACCGTTTCCTCCCGTGAGATAAACTTGAGCGCAGTGAAGCCGCGCGCCCGGCGCACCCACGGTTCCGGGCCGGCTCCCGCAGGGGCCGCGATCACGTTTCCAGCGACCTGGGTTCTTCGCGAGCCCGGCACTGCCCAGCGTGCCGATTTTCAGGAGTGCAGTGCGGGAAGCTGATGGGCAAGGTGGGCCCGAGAGACTCCTGCCTTGCCCTGTCATGTCTTTGCTCCCCACGACCGGGGTAGTGTATGACAGATTTTCCACATCATTTTTATTAGGATGCTTACCCTTCGTTTTGGTGAGAGCCCCCGGGAATGGTGGCCAGTTTGTGCAAATTAAGTTAAATACTTTAGGTTCTGAGCGACGCTTCCAAGTGAAGCAGAGTGGCGTGGGATCGCAGAGCTGAACTCCGTAGAATCTGTCTTCCCGGGGCCCTTCATTAGTCTTAGCTGTGCTGTAAGCAGCCCACCTGCAGGGTCTCCGTTTGCATTTGTCTCGGAGTGCGGAGCTTGCGCAACTGATTCTTGCCAACTTTTTTTTTTTTTTTAATTTACAGCACACGTTCTCTCACTATTTTATAATTAAAAAGATTTTTTTAATTAACATATAATTATTACTAGCCCCAGGGGTACTGTCTGTGACTCGCCAGGTTTACACACTTCACAGCACTCACCATAGCACATACCTTCCCCAGTGTCCATCACCCCACTCTCTCTCTAAGTGGGAGCTTTGTTCAGGTCAAATTTACATACCATAAAATTCACCTCTTTTAAGTGTACTTATTCATTGACTGCCCTCCAGCCCCCCCCACCCCCGCATAAATGCGGAGTTGTGCGGTCCTCACCACAACGCACTTTTAGAACATTTTCGTCACCCCTGAAAGATCCCGGTGCCCATGTTCAGTCACTACCCATTTCTGACCCTAGCCCCAGGCAATCACTAATCTGCTCTCTAACTCCTTGGACTTGTCTCTCTTGAATATTTCACTGAGGTGGGATCATCTGTGGCCTTTGTGTCTGGGAGCGGCCTCAGTCAGTGGGACTCCTGCCCGTTAGGCCTCTGCATTGCACTCCCCGTGCATCTCTCATATTCAAGAGGTGGTTGTGTCCGTGAAAAAAGAGAAATTCTCATTTAGTGCTTGCAGAACCTTTGAAACACCTGGGGCCCCGTGGGATCAAGCTGGAGCTCTTCTGGCTAAGTTTTTAGCATTCCCTTCAAATTCACATGTTGTTTGATTCCGTCTTCTATCATTCTCAGGGTGGATAGTTACTGCTCTGTCCTGCCTACTGCCTCTTCGGTGTGGCAGCCACAGTTAAGCGTCACAAATGGAATAACAGAAGCTAGGAGGGGAAACACGCAGGTGAACTTCGCCTGGCTTCCACCTGTGTCCCGTGTGGGGTTTTTAGGGGGAGATTTGCAGCTGCCTCTTTGCACCAGGAGAGAGTTTAGAAACGATTTGTATTTCATTGGAAAAACGACAATTTTCCAACCCTTCGTGATCTGAAATCTTAATTAGGGATGGGAAGCTAGACCTTGCATTTGGTGGGTGGGTGGGGTGCTTGGTATCCTTCAGCATCTCGCCTGAGACAGGCCAAGGAGGTGGTAAAAACAGGTCGATTTTCCCTCCTCCGTGGCCTAATCAGTTTTGACATGCTGCAGAGATCTGGATTACCTGGAGTTACTAATCCTGATGGTGTCTTTGCTTTAGGAAATGAGTTTCAAGTAAAATGAGAGTACTGGCTTTGGAGGTGCCTGCCTCCTGCGGCTCACTAGTACTGGGTGACTGAAGGATCCTCAGAGTAAGGAGATGGGCCCAGCACCTG